GTTCCAAGACGACACATTCTCGTTAGAACATTTGTGAGCAGTCGGCCTTGTCGCGATGTACGTAGGCGTTCATGTTGAGCGTGGCGATGCATGGTAATGCGCTCGTCCAAGGTGTTGTGGATGCTAGTTAGAGGCAGTAGGTGGTTGGGTGCGAACCGTGGAACGCCAAGTGTGAGTCGGGTGCACTTACGGAGCGCGGTTTCAAGTTTGCAGATTCGTGTTGTGGTGAGGGTGGCATAAGGTAGGTTGTACATGACTCGGGTGTAGACCAGGGCTTCGACCGTTTTACACATCTCATGTTGTTTTAGACCTCGGTTGCGCCTGTATACTCTAGTGAGCATATGGTGAATTTCGTTTACCTGCTTTGTGATAAGTGCTAACCACTCGTCCGCTTTGCCGTCCTGCTGGAGGAGCGAGCCTAGCACTCGTACGGTGCGGCGGCGAAGGATGAGGGTGTCATTTATATGTAGTTGAATGACTGCTCGGTAGTCGTCTGCCTTCTGTCCCATATTGTTGGAGACAACGATGTATGTTGTTTTTGTGGGGGAGCATGTGAGGCCAAGTTGAGTTATGTGGGTGTGGATTGTGTCAAGTCCGGCCTGCACTGTGGCTCCCTGATCTGCTGGGGAGCTGGTGCAGCACCAGACGGTGATGTCGTCCGCATAGATATTGTGCTGTAGGTGCTGGATTTCGTGAAGTTTATCCGGGAAATTCTTCAAGGCTAGATTGAATAATGTGGGAGAGAGAATAGCCCCCTGTGGTACTCCAGCTCTTAAGGTATGGTCAGGGGATGTGAAGTCATTGACCTGTATCTGTACTGTTCGATCGGTTAGAAAGGCTTTGATGTAATTATACATTCTAGAGCCGGGTGCCGTGTGCAAGAGGTTATCTAGAATCGCGTGGCGAGCTACAGAGTGAAAAGCTTTGTGAATGTCTACGCTTGCTATGGCACGCAGTTGTGTGGTACTGGCATTCTGGTATACATCTTCGTATATGCGAAGCATGGCATCTTGTGTGCTAACATGTGACTGAAAGCCCGTCATAGTGTATGCTAAGGAATCTGTGGTCTCTAGATGCCATTCAAGGCGATTTAGTGCCATTCTCTCCATAAGTTTGCCAACACAAGAGGCAAGTGAAATAAGTCGGAGGTTGTTGATCTGGTTAGGAGATTTTCCGGGTTTCGGGATGGGTATGGTGAGGGCAGTTTTCCACTTATGAGGGAGGATTCCAGTCTCCCATGCCTGATTGATTTGGTCGAGGAGAGGTTCGACGAAGTGCTCACGTAGGTTGCGTAGTGTAGTGTAGGTGATTTCATCCATACCTAGGGTAGTGTTCCTTTTCAGGTTATGAAGAGCTGCTTGTAGCTTGTTCATGCTGAAAAGGGAATTGATTCCGGTGGAAAGAGAGTCGGGTGATTCGGGAGGATAGTCGGGCAGTGGGAAAAGGTTTGGTTTGTGTGGATAAAAGAGTTTTTGTATGTCTCGAGCAAGAGATTCAGGATCTGCTCCTGCATACATGAGAAGCTTTGTTAGCGTGTGCCTAGGTTTAGCCTGTCCCAGAAGGGATCGAAGGATCTGCCACACTCGAGGTGTGTGTAGTTGTCCGTTAAGCTGATCGCATGTCTGGAGCCAGTTCTCGGTAGTAAGGGTGTATGGATATTCCTGCGCCTCCTCAGTGATAGCCTGTATAGCTTTTTTGAGGGGGCATTGGTCTTGTTCTTTTTCCAGCGTTGTACTATGCGGAATCGTTTGTCCCACAATGGAGAGGACGTGTGAGTCTACATGCTCGCGGTCCGGGGTGTTTGTACTAAGAGGACATCCACTTAACTTCATCTGTGACGTCACCATTTGTTCTTTTACACAGTACATTTCGATAAGCAGTTGACATTATTAGTAACAAAGGGGTCGTCCTTGCAGGACCGGGCCGACACCATCAAGAGCCCTGGGCAAACTCCAGCCGTGGCGCTTACCCCCCCCCCCCCCCCCCCCCCCCGCCTCTACTGGGTACGATTAGTAAACATGTGAGAAGTGGCTCAACCCGAGTGTTTTGTCGGACGAGAACCGCAATCCGAAAACAAACGACGATCGTGCATATAGCTTCGTGTCGTGCACCGTGCTAAAAAATAAATAAATAAAAAAAGCAAAAAAAAAAATTTAAAAAAAGGCACGGCGGCGCCGCTCTTTGACGGCGCCCTAAGCAACCACCCAGGTCACCCACCTCTAGGGCCGGCCCTGCGTTCTGGAAGCGTACGACTAGGTGTCAAACCCGCCGAATCGCAGGCTGGGCTGCTGAGACCAACAAACCAGACGAAGCAGGAAAATAAAAAGGCGTCACCTGCGGCGTTTTGACGTACTGAATAAAAAAACTAGCGATGAGAGTTTTGCCGGTTCCGCTAAAACTGCAAAAAAGTGACGCGAGCCTGGACTGCCAATGCCTAAATATTCACTCCTAAAAGCATGACCAGCGGAGCGTCGGGGTAAAAAGCGTGAACCAACCGCGTTTCACCCACTGTTGACCGACCCTTCAATGCACCAACTACAACAACTCTATAAAGGCCGCAGTGCACACGCACCAAGTGATAACCAAGCACCATAAGGTTTCGTGGATCCGTCCAGGTTCCGTCGGTCTCGTTCATACAAACAGCACCGCATGTATGGTGCATGAAGCACGTCCTCAAAAATGGCCCCTCGATTTCCGCCTGATGACGTCATAAAAATGTCACGCTGCTGCCTGCCGCGATCCTAGCGGTGGCAGAGCAGCGGGCTAAGCTAAATTGCCATTCATCCACGTGCTATGAAACAGGCCATCTGGCCCGCTACTCTGCCACCGTCAGGATCGCGGCGGATTGCCTGTTTGATAGTACGTGGATGAATGGCAATTTAGCCTTCAACAAGGGAGCCAGGACAGAAGTAGGGGTCCACGGACACACAACAATATAAAATATTGGCACAGAAAAATTAATGGCGTGTTCAAGAGGGCACATTCTAGCATTTACTCATTCACGGATCTTATCAGAAAGGGTTAGGCCCTGACCAGGACCTCTCTACTGCAGCTAGCAAATAGAGGGCCAGGCAAATGACCAAGGCACAAGGTCATAAACAAGGGCAAGCTCTCATGAGGCTGAACATGGTTAAAATTGCGCACAAATAGAAAGGAACAGAGAAAAGGGGCACAAATAAAAAGGAACAGAGAATAGTGTGATCTCTGAGGCTGATTCAAATCTTTGGATCGAGCTACCTTGTTCATGAGTTACTTCAAAGAAGAAAAAAAAAAACACGTTAAAAAATGACTGGGGACGAAGAAACCAAGCGCGCGGTCCGTGTTGTTTAACCTGTGTTTTTGCGTTGTTGTTTTTTTCTCTTAGGTTTGAAAGGCTAAGGCATTCTCTGGTGTTTGAATAATCTTCATTTTTTGTTTTTAAATGATCTTAACAGTTCAAATAATGTCCACGGCATTGTAACTCACAAACTGCGTTTTAATTCTTTTTGTTTATTTGTTTTATTCCAATTTTATGTCTGAATGAAAGATGAAAATAAAGGCGTGCCGATCACGAAGCACCTAAAATTTTAAAATTATAACCAGCAGCAAAATAAAGTAACAAAAAGAAACAACAACAAAGAAAGTTTTTGTGCTCTCAAACATAAGCGGTATATAGTTTTTATGCTTCACGGTCTGGAATTAACGGCTGTACTGTGACTGGATGAAATAGAATCGCTTTCTGTAAATGGACCTAAAATACAAGAGGTCTTATATGGGAAGGTTAAAAATGGACGTAATAAAATGAAAAGACGAAACAAATTGAACGAAAATGATTCAGTGTCTTTAAGCGAGAAATTTACAAATGAGAACGGGTTGAATGGGTCAGTGTTGTAGGCGTTACAAGGAAAAAGGTGAGAAATACGTTATCAGCAATAAATGAAAAGCGTTGCCGACCTACGTTAGCTCTAAATAAAATGAACGCGTTACGGTTAAAAAGTAATGCACGTTACTTTTGCGTTATATTTGCGTTACATGCCATTGAGGGCGGCAGCATTTTTGGACACTGGGACAAATGGTGTGGACGTTCATGTCTTTTTAAAGTGGAAGTGTTTACACAGAGAAAAGAAAGGAAAATGATTGAAAATATTTGGGATGACTGCAAACATCAACAAATTGGCGCCAAGAAACACGAAAAAAAATTAATTTAATTTCTTGAAGGTTGGGAAGGAAGCCATAACAAGTAACGTAACTATAGTTATTTCGAGTAACGTGTAACGTATACGTTACACGTTACTCGAAATAATGAATGCGTGTACAGCGCGAAAAAAAAAATACAATATAGAAAAAAAATACAATGTTGTTTTTTTAACCGCAAAAATAAACTATGCAATGCCGAGCGTTCATTTTTCGCCCGAATGTAGCGATAGAGGACCGAACTAGATGTCAAAGCTTCAGCACTAACATTTGCCTCAATAAAAAGGAAATTATAAATGCCTTTCTAAAATTTTCAATGGGGAAATGGGCCCGTTTTAATCTTAAAACGAAAATACCAAGCATCTTACGTCGGCGAAGGAATGGAGATTGTCCTGAACCAGCGCCTTTACCGCTGCTTTCATACACGCCTTACGAATGACACGTTCGGAATCAAAACGGATGACGACACCCGAGCATGGCCTGGAACTTTCCAGAATAGTGAAGATTTCTAAGGCGGACTGGACGTAGGAGCGGTCGAACCAGGTTCCTCCGCATGGCAACCGCGTGCGGTGCCGAATTCGTTACGCACGCGGCAATAAAAGAAAAAAAAAAAAAAAAAAAAAGGAACCCTAGTTTTTTTTTGTTTTTTTTACAACATACGCAAATGCCAGGTTTTCACTTTGCATAGAGAACCCATAATACGTACCTCAAATCTTCATGAAAAGACAGCGTTGGAACCAGAAAATCCCTCTTGTTTTCCTTCTTGTTTTCCGCTTGCAAGCCGAGGCGACCCGTGTTCCGAACAAAACCCGAATAAATACGAAGCGTTGGCAGAAACAATATATTTCTCCGTACAAAAAATACTCGTCGATGTGGCTTACAAAAATGGGCGTGACGTCGTCCGGTGCGAAGCCGCACGTCCAACGGTGAACGAAGGAACGCGTTTCCAACGTCCTGGAAGTAGTCCGCACAGTTCGGTCCGCGGAAATAACACGTCGTGGCACGTCAAAAACAGAGCACTCCTATGATCACTGTACATATCCGTCGTCGAGCAGGCGACGCACGTCTCTCCGAGGGAAGTCCTCGCCAGGGCGCCTTGTCTGCTCGTTGCCTGTCTCGAGAGCTTAGGCCGCAATCACATACGTCACACAAAAGACAAGTCCGCAGACAGTGTCACAGGCAGGTTTCTTTCTTGCTTGATCGATACTGTCAGATTGGTCATATAAACACTGTCTGTACATATGCTCTAAGCACACATACACGTGAAGGAAACGTGCTTCGAAAATGCTTGAGGTGTGTTCAATGCCTTTTGTATGACGTATGCGCCGTGCGACTGCAACTCTACGCTTGTTCCCCTTTGGCATCGAGGGCGGCTGAGTTCCGTTCAGGCCGGGAGCTGCGGCGAGGTCACAGTTCGGACACCTCGAGTTTTCCGGCCCGGTTGGGCGTGCCCATCTTGCCGAGGAAAACGCTGGCGTAGGGGCAGCCGTTCTTGTTGTACCTGTTGAGGTTGTTCCGCTCGGCCACCTCGGGGCAGAGCAGGTCCGTAGAGCCCACGGGCATGCTGATGTTCTGCACCGTGCCGTTGGAAAGCACGTACACCTCGGAGCACAGCTGGGCCGAGTCGAACTCGCGGTCCTGGCTCTGCCGGTGGCTGTCCGAGGAAGAGGACGTGCTGCCGGACGTCTCGGCCACCGCGTTCTCGTCCAGGGAGTTGCTGTCCACGGGCCTGGAGCCAAGAGCAGGCCGTCAGAAGGCACCCGCATCGTTTGGATTCGCGTGCTAATTCGCCGATTCTTCGAAGGAGTACCTTCTGAGGAATTTTTTTAAGTACCCGTAAAACGAGGATACGCAGCTTTCTCGAGCACTCTTCAGCCGGTCTGTCTTCAAGATCGTCATGATTATGCCGGGGTTACGCCATCCCAACGATCTGGCATGGACATCCACTTCCGACAACATATATATTTTTGGTAACTGAGCACTAACGTTTGGTCAGAGGCTGAACAGCGCTCGAGGACATCGTCCAATCAGACTGATTCATCCTCATCACTAAAAGTTCGAACCTCGTAAGCCTACACAAGGTGTACGCCGAGGCGCAGGCCCGGTGCTTGAGTGACCCTATCACTCCAGAGTTCCGCCGTCAAGCATGCTGGCTACACTGAATGCCATACGCAACGAAACGCGACTGAAATAGATGGCTGGGTTTACGGATCGTTGTTGAGATCGCTGCCTGAGAGGACAGGTTACAAAAACGGTTTCACTCCCAATTTCAACGACTTCGAAGTGTTAGAGAGCGTTCACGGGTGACGTGCGCGATGAAACGGCAAAGGCCTAATCATAGGCCGTTATGCAGACACAGACGGCTTGTGACTCGTCTTGAAGCATATTAATTACGGGAAATTATTTACGAAGCTTCCTTTAGTCGATACAGGCGTCGGAGAGCTTGCCGTTGGCCAAGATAGTCCGTGGACAAGACGGCCAATGTTTGCTTCAAATACATTCGGGAATCAAAGGCGTACGTTTAGTTTTCCAAGCAGCACAGATATTGGCCAAGCATTGGCCAGTGGCTGGCGATGGTATTTTGGCCAATAGCTAAAGAGTGGCCATCCATCGGCCAATCTTTGGCCGATGGCTGATGGCCAGAGAAAGGCTAACCATCGGCCAATGGCTGGCCACTGTCTGGCCACTAGCCAAAAGACCGTTGTCGGCCATTGCCGAATTATTGGCCAAATTTGTGCTGCTTGGGTTGTTTGCGTTCCGGAAATATCCCCACGAGATGCTTAAATTGCTAACACGCTTAAAAAACAAAAGAAAAAAACAGTCATGACAAGTAATTTGTTAGTATTTTCACTGCCCCACAGTTAGCACGTGAGCATGGGCAACAGTTGTTAAGGCAGTGACACTCGGTTTTGAAAATGTAGTTGGGATGGACCCCACCACAGTTCACTCCAGATCACTTCATACCAGGATAGTTCATTACGGACATTTCGTACCAAAGACATGTCATTCCGATATGTTTTAACCTAAGACCTTTTATCTTACGGACACTTTATACCACGACATTTCATGTTATCAGAGCTTATACATTATATAGAGCCCTTGAAATGTCTGGGGATGAGACTTCTTTGGTATAAAATGTCCGGGATAAACTGTTCAGGGATGAAGTGAGTAGACAAAATTCGGTGGGGTTGGGTGTTACCGTGTTAGTGGCGGTTTCGAATCGCCGGAGAGTGTACAATCAGGGCCTCCTATTTTACTACGCCATTTTGCACACCCTGAAGTTGCGAGCTAGGAAAATGTTTCTAAAATAGTCAGAAGGCTATTTGATTCTGCATATGGATGGCTGTCAAAAACAAAACACAAAGAAAAGGCAACCGATATTAAATCTGGCACAGCGGAGGAAATTCCTGCCATACACCGGCCACGCAGATGCAGATGCCTTTATTCTAACGTCGTCACTAGGGAATTTCTGCCACACGCCGCCGCCTCACTGGTGCATTGGCTGCGTGCTGGCAACGCGCAGCATCAATCTCTAGAGCGTCTGCCACCGGAGTTGCACTATAGTCACTGGCAGAACGAGAACGGCGGGAAGCACTTTCTACCTTTGATAACGCTTGGGCATCTCACCAGCCTCAAGCGCGCGCGCGTAGCCAAAGCACTGAGGAAGGCAACGAACGCGTGCTGGAGGCCGGGGACTTTCAAAAGAAACGCTCCCTGCGTCCGACATCGGTAGCCAACGAGGCCCGTTCACTCACACTCCGCGCCGAAGGGGCCGGAGCCCTCACGGCGCGGCGGTATATTTCCAGGCGGCACACCACCCAGGCAAGATCCGCGCCCGGATGCACAGGCGGAGAAGAAGCGGCCAAGCGCGCCCCTCGAGCCAGCCCCGCCCCCAGCCAAGCGCCATCACCTCTTTCCGCAAAGCGTGTTCAAAGTACCTATTGGAGGTGAGCGCGACCGGCGCCGTGATCGGAGTGTGCGAGACGTAGACCGTGGATTTCCGCAGCTGTCGCCTCGGGCTGCCACGCTTGCTCTGTGCGTTTCTGTTGGTTCAACCAGGGCCCGATCAGCAAAGGCGCCCCGGACGCGGCCCTGAAGGCCCGCGGGCCGCGTGCGGTGCACCATGCGCGCCCCACCCGTGCACACTTCTACTCAGCGCTGCGACAGGCACACCGCGTGCGCAGTCCGCAGCGAGCCCATGCCAGCTAGAAGACAAGGCCTCGGACTCTTTCACCAAGACGACATCATTAGTGGATCTACGCATCGCCGCCTAGCTTGCGTCAGCGTCTCCGCCAGCTTCAGCCTGCTTGCCCCTTGGGGCGGTTCGGGGATCCACTAACGATGACGTCATGCGCAGGCCTTGTTTTTTAGGTTGGGCGAGCACTGCAGGGGCTCTGAACATTAACAAACCGGGGCATGTTGCTCTGAGGAACGTTGGCGGCACAAGCCGGTGAAAGACCAGTGTGTCCTTTCCTAGTTGCAGAGGTTATCGGTGCTCAATTTCGTTGAGGGGGCTTAACGTAGAATATGCCTTTGGGTTCCGTCCATACTGTTAAATTTAAGACAACGCAGAGACACATGACGGCGACACATCACGTGGTCCCGTGACGCATAATAATCACACACCACGTGACACGTCACCACGTGACCCGTAGTGGCACAAACCAAGTGACCGTCGTACGTATTATACGTACTACAAGAGAGATTACGACTGAAGAGTTGGCGAAATCGATCGCCAGATGGAGTATGACTACAGAGTGTAACTCTTTCAAATGCCACGCTTACCCGAGTCCTTGCGCGATAGCTCTCGCCTCCGCCTTCTACAACGCTACGCAAGACGCTCGAAATAGGGTGGGTGAACAAATGACGACAGACGGTCGGCGTCGAACGGCATCCCTCGCGCAACACACGTGGTCGATGTGTTGCTCCCGGGTACTGAATTGTCGTCCTGAATTCGCACCCATCGGTACTGGCAGTCGGCGGTTCTCCCCCATCGGAGCAACACTCGACGCTCCCTCGTCGGTGTTCTTTCGGTCAACACCGCAGACCAGGTAGCTTTTAAGCGCTCCCTTACTGTTCTTCGGTGAGGTAATCAACACGCGACAAACGGGGTGCTCGACCCCTTCGACGAAGGAATCTCCAGCAACCCAATGCAGTGCTCGAAAAGCCCAGTACACGCACTCGTCTACTCTCTGACGAAATCCAGGAGCGTGCTTACCTGGTTTCTTCGTCTTCTTTGTACCAGTCGTTATCGTAAGAGTGCATCCAAATTGGGTTGGACCTGAAATAGTACCAATTTCATCATTGTTACACTATCCAGGCATATTTAAAACAGACTCGCAGACCAAACACCGAGTTAAAGGGGCGATGCAACGATTTTTGTACTTTGCACAAATACCGCTTAAAACGGATCCCTGACGTTAATGACGTATGAAACACGCGTTCGTTTTTCACCCCACGCAATAAAAGTTCCAGAAAAAAATGTAAAAAAAACGAGCACCGTTCATTTCCTCAACTCGCAGCCAGAACAAGTGGCCACGTGATCTGGAGTCGATTATATGCCGCCAATGTTGATCATAGCCACGCGCTGGGGTTGGCAAAGCACAGGACACGCGCTGAGTTCCAGACATTGTTATGGCTCGGCTATTGTCGTCGTTGCAGCGATTGGACACGGGCCACTACCCGAATGCATGTCGAGGCATCAATTGTCACGAGCCCAGATCGAATGTGTACGCAGTCTTGGCGTCCACTGTGTGAGCAGCATTTGAATATCGTTACCGCAAAGCTCGATGACGCATTCTCGGGGATCGTACTGTTGCCATTGTCCCCACAGCTCCGTCATCAAATTTCGCGAAGGAGCAAAAGGCGGCTTTGGAAGGAGAGACTGAAAGAAAAGCTCCACTTTCGTCCTTTGAATTCCGCCGCGACGAAGACGCTTCTTGGTCAGTGGTGTTGCGTTCGAGTATTCTTGGGTCCCACTAGTGCCATGAAGCTGGGGTAAAGTAAGAAATATTCCTACCCAATGTCGTTGCACAGCCCATTTAATGCTAAACCACAGTATAAGGCACCCAAGTTCGGCCAGCGAAATCTCAGCTGATCAGGTGTCGATCGTTGCAGCCGTGAAAACAAGGACGTTTTTTTATGTAGCTTTACCTAACCACTCTAGGAAACAGTACATCTAAATACAGGACGTATTTTCGGCCACTCATTTTAAAATGACATATACAAATATATCACTGATTGTGAGAAACTGGAACTATCACCTATTCAAAAAGAGATTACAAAATCTTGTCAGTTCCAGTTTGAATTCCTTACAGAATAACCCCACCAGGCACGTAGCCATGGGAAACAGTCCAAGCATGTACACGCTGCATTTCTCTTCTTGGTCGGGGCAAACAGTGTAACGAATGTGAGACAGACCTTGCTTTTAAATATGTTTTGCGCTAAAAATAAAGTGAACTATCACAAATTTGATAAAGTGGCATTGTGCTTTTTATTTTGTTCATCTTTCCAGTCTTCAGTCTTCGGTGAAATATCTGGATCGAAAGCCAACCGCCGGGGTAAATAGATGGTCACTATGGCTGACATTGTGTGTCGACCCAACTCATGCCAGGTGCGAGGCAACAGGCGATGCCCTGGTGTAAGTTATTCTTTCGACGGACCTGACGCGGACCAATTCCGAACAATGGGCTCAAACTTCTATAAGCCTCGCATGTGATACATGCTACGGTAAACTCCGACCAAGGCCTTAAATAGCAACACCCCCTTTTGTTTTCATCATGAAAGTCGACATTTGTTGCAGCGTGAGGAGAACAACTGCCGGTTTTAGTTATCTGCGAATAGTGGATTTTGTGTTCGAAGCGAGTAGTGGTCCTGGCCGAAGATTTTAGAGTCGACTATCGAATGGTTTCTCCCAGCCTTTCACTGTTGCACCATGCTTCACAAAAAACCTAGCTGAACTCGTAAAGGTTGTCCCCGAGCTTCAACTTGCCCCTTTGTAAGCTAAGTTAGTTTTAATCTAACTATATGGGTGGTGGTCTCATAAAGTTCAATGCCCACATTGGGTTGATCGGAAAAATTAATAAATTTACTTGCTGTATGCAAATATGGTACATTCAATCTTTAACTTGAAAAAAAAAAAAACGATCACGAATTAATAACGCAATGGCATGTCTGCCTAACCTATACTCTTGCTTAATATCCAGTTTAATTTAGATAACCTTACTGCAACGTATATAATAAAATTACAACATTTTCGTTTCTTTCTAAATGCACCCAGTACATGCGTGCACGATCTCGATTTGAAACCGTTATTTTCTCCTAAGCACGAGACCGATATCGGCCGAAGATCACGGCGGGTCAGCCCCGTTGAGCGCGCTTCTTACCGAGCACCGGTGCACCATGGAGAAGCAACAACAACGAAAGCGAACTTCGGGGGTGTTACTTCTCCACGGTACACCGGTGTTCGGTAAGAAGTGAGCTCCACGCAGCTAACCCGCCGTGATCGACACTTGGAAAAATACGAATATCCCAGTTTACATCGTGAACGAATATCGCAGTTAATATCGTAGACGAATATCGCATAGCGTATTGTTCGAAACCACTATTCAAAAATCGGAACATTCGCACAACCCTAGTCGGTTTTGGGGCCCTCCGTTCCCACAAAGAACAAAGCATCTTGGTGCAAATAATATAAAACAGCGCAAATAAACACAAGGACAAGGAGAACAAGGACACGGACGCAGCGCTGGCAAGAAAAGGGCCCAGAGCCCTGCCGGCGAGTGAGGCCGCCCGGGTAAGGTCCGCGGCCTGCTTCAGCGTCCCAACGGGTGGCTGCTTACCCTTCGACAGAATGCTGGTTGGTGTTGGGCACGTCCACGCGGTTCAACGCCGAGTCCCTCGAACCTGGCGGAAAGGAGAACATCACACGATGTGAGGCCTTGCCCGTGGCTCCCATCTTCCCGACTCGGATTGTCCTCGGAGCGGGCGCCGGCAGAGCGGACAGGGTGCGTGAGACTTGAGGGCGCACCATAACGGATCTTGCTACCTCTATCTTTAATGTCCGCACAGCCCTTACATTGCACAATAACAACAAAAGCACGGTGTTCGCTGCAGATGTGACGACAAAATCATCCGCAAGTATGCTTCAAGCATGTTCGAAGCACATTTGCCCCATACGTTTGTATGCTTCGAAGATATCTGCGTTCACTCCTTATATGACCAATGCGACAGTACCGGACATACAAGGAAGAAACACGCCTCAGTGTCTTCGGGTTGCCTCTTGTACGAAGCTTTAGCAGTGTGACCACGTCTTTATGGAGCGCGCATATGCTTGGGACGCGAGATGCTGCTTCCAGTTGGCTATCGATTTACGGTCAGAAAGTGTCCTTGTATGCTGCACCCAAGTACCACGCTCACGGAGCTGCTTGGAAACTTCGCTGTAGACCTGTGATACATATATCCTCTAAAGTTGCGCTCTTGAACGTCGTGAAAGACACCGCGCTGCCCGATTCTCTCCAGCATTTCTTTATTCACAAAGGCTTCGAGCCCATCGTGATGACTGTCCGTAGCGCACCCACTGGCTGGAAAAGAAAGCCCAGGACGCGTTCGGGGGCTACGGTTGCTCGGCTTACCAAAAGCTGTCGCAGTGGCTGCCTTCAGCTGGCGCTCATATCTGGGAAAAAAAGAATGACAAAAAAAAAATGACGTCCTTCGTGCAAACAAACGGGAACAACCTGTTAAATGCGCCCCCACATCCAGTTCACAAGAAATCCGGATCGCCATTCGAGGGGCTTTCGGAGCGCACATCGGAATTTGGGCACAGGGGGAACTTACAGCGATGTCAAGGTATCAAATAGGGATGCCGCGAACTTTTTTCGAATCGAAGTTTCGATGATCGAATCAAGCGGTTCGAAAGGTTCGAAAGATTTCGATTTTTCGAATTGTCTATATTGTAAAATTCGACGGAGGTCGAATTTTCGAACTTGTTAAGCTAAGAAGTTCGACGCTTTTCGAACCGTCGAACTTATTACGCTAAAAAATTCGATCTTTTTCGAACTTTCGAACTTATTGCGCTGCAAGGTTCGATGCTTGTCGAACTTTCGAACTTGACTGACCAAAAAATTCGATGAATTTCGAACTTTCGAACTTATTTATCAAGAAAATTCGAAAAGTTTCGAACTTTCGAATTTTGAAAAGTCAGAAGTGCGACGAACTTCGAACTTTTAGGGTAAAAGTTCGACGTTCGTCGAACTTCGAAAGACCGGCGGCCGGTTTCATTTGATTTCAAGGAGTGGGGTACATTCGTAATTTTTTTTTTTCTCGAACTTTTACACGCGGTGCTGCGTTCCTTACGAAAGACAATGTCATTTATTTCAATGTTCTGGCATGCTTAGGTTTAAAGAAATAAATCCCCGAAGGGGCGAGGACGGACGACACGACGGGTTTTTGACGATTATCGTTTGTGCCAGATTTGAAGCACGCTGCAGCCGGAGCTATTTATGGTAGATATGTTATACTTTTTTAAGAATGATCTATGTATAGCTACAGGTAAGTGCCGTCTTAAGATGTGATTATTGTTATTCAACGTGAGTTTCGAAGAAATGTCCAAACATGTATCTGCGTGCAATTATGACCTAAACTTGATAGTTATTTTCGTCTAAGTTATTTGAGGTATCGCATTTAAATTAGCACCACAGACAGTACATACCATTGCCATCTGCAGAATACAAAATAATATATTTATTGTTTTTTCACGTTAAGGAATAAATTAACTCATTGCAGAAGATGTCTAGTAGTGTTCAAGTTCAACACGTCATTAAAAGAAAACTTTTTTTTTTTTTTTTTCGCTTCACGTTCCTGGGACGTGTTTCTTTTAGCCTGTACACATTTTGGTAAAAGAAACTTGTTTCGAAGTTCTGAAGCTCTGAATATGCACGAATAGAACACTTCCGACGAATTCTTGATAGTTTTTTTTTTTTCTCCTGCTTCTTATTCCCGCATTTATTCTTTTTTTTTTTTTTTTCTTTTGTTACTATCGGCACAGGTGTTTAGGTCGAAAAGACAGCTTTGAACTTCCGAACCACTAAGCATGTGACGAGCAGTGCCTTCTGACAACGAGTTTCTAACAGTGACCATTTACGCAACCTTTTATGTAGTGAAGAGCGACAGTAGCTATACATATGCATAAATAATTTCAGATTAAAATAAGCTCGACCACGCCCTCTTTCCCCGTATTGTTTTCTTTAACAGTCCAAAATACCTGCAAGGGAAAAAAAAAAGGCTGAAGCCCCCCCCCCCCCCCCCCCCCCCCCCCCGCTACCCTCTTTCCCCCCGTTTTTCCTCTTCCGACGCCACTTGTATGGTAGAACGCTCCTCGACCTCGAGTTGTGTCGGCTTTTGTGCTTTTTGCGAGGCGATTCCTCCGTCCCAGAAAATAAACCTCCAGGACAATTATAAACTTCACCGGATCGGATTACTACCAGCGTGCAAGGGGTGGCGAGCTAGTTTGCCAGGTCGCTTCAAGGTTTTACTGAGCCTCAACCTCCTGCTCGCCCCTGGCCGTTTCGAACTGGATGAGTCTCGTAAAACAGTGTTTTCGTGCAATCACTACTGCGTGATAAAGACCCCCCCCCCCCGGGGGGGGGGCTGGCGGTCACAATTCTGCACTGGCAAATATTCTAGCACGCCCGGGAAACTCGTCGTCTCATTTAATTGCCTTACCAACTTCGCAGAATCTAGGTATCACACCCTAACTTTTCTAAACTTGATTTTGTGAAAACAAGCGAGTCGTGAAAACGTTATTTGAAACTGAAACTGTAGAAAAACTTGAAAATCGGACTTCAAACTTTGAAAACTTGGATTAGAAAAAAATTCAAAATCTTCGAAGTTTTTTTTTTTTTTTTTTGAATGTAGCGTTAAAAGAGAATCGAAACTTTCGAACTTTTCGAACTTTAAGCCAAAAGAAATTCGAAATCTTCGAATTGTTCGAACTTCATGTTTATAAAAATTCGAAGCGTTCGAAGTTTTCGAATTTTTTTTACAAAGAATTTCGGAATCTTCGAATTTATCGAACCTGAAGTAAAAAAAATATTCGAAATATTCGAATTCGAAATTTTAGAAACCGTGAAAGCTTCGAAATTTTCGAATTCGAAACTCCGCTGTGGACAAAAGTTGCGAATTTTTCGAAATCGAACCTCGGTCGGTACGAAAATATCGAAATTTTTCGATATCGAACCTTAGTTCGCTTCGCAAATATCGAAACCTTTCGAAATCTAACCTAGGGTGGTTCGCGACATCCCTAGTATCAAATGTATGGTCGATGTCACCTAAAAACAAGGCCTGCTCCTTCCCTAATTTAACGTCATTACAGGATGAAGACAGCAGCGAGGCGTTTCAGTTGTACCGCCTCCAGCGCGAGTTTCTTTTTTTTTTTTACTTTTCAAGACAATTTGACATGACGTGGTCTTCGCGCCACGTGCAGCCAAAGCACGATGGAAGGCAACGAGCCCGCGCTGCAGGACGGACAGTGGAAAGACGAGGTCTGCCGTTCTCATCTTGTCAGTGACTATAGTCCTAAAATGGATCCAGGCGGCGCAGCTATGCGGAGCGCAAGTTCGTCTGCTTTTTTTGCGGCGGTTGTGGTGACGTCAGAATGCCGAGCTCCGATTGGCTATAATTAAAGGCTACACTCTAAGAAAAAATGGAGGAAAAAAGTAGCAACGGCGCGCCTTCCTCCCTTCTACCGACGCGCCCCCAAGCGGACACGAGAAAAGGGGAGGAACGAAACTTTTTTCTCCTTCTCCAGGCAGACGGGTGAAAGCTTTCGCCCTCCCGACTCATCGTCTTTCGGTTTCGTTTTTCGAGCAGGTCGCGCACGTTGTTTAATAAATAGCTGTTGAGTTGATTGAGCTTCAGCAGCAGCGAAGGCCGCCTGTAATTCCGTCTTCTAGTCTAAACGTGCAGAACATTTCGGTTGCATTGACGTTTTTATCACTAATTTTATCAAACGAGCAAACGAAGCCGCTAGAAACAGCGAAGTTCCGGAACAGTGCCAGCAGTGCCACGTACACTGGGGGATGGCCGCAGTGTTGCCAACCGTAGGGTAATTACCCTACTTGTAGGGTATTTTAGGCATTTTTGGTACATTGTAGGGTTGTAGGGCCGTCCGGCCATTTCCCCGCCAAAAGTAAAGTAATTTCAAAAAGTGAAAAAAAAAAGAAAGCTCCCGTGCAGGTTTTGCACAGCTTTGATAGCTTTGCAAACTCGTGTGCTGCCACACCATGACATAATGCAGAACGAAAGTATCCAAGTTGCAAGACAAGCTAACAGCGAGTACCACACACCAAGCTGGAGAGTATTGGAGAACTGGAGCAACGAGCAAGTGGGAGAGGTGGGAGGAGTGGGAGTTGCGCGGAGGGAGTTTGGAGCCAGAGGAGGTATCTTCCCAGTGGACATGTTCCCGCCAATTTTTCTCTGATGACTCTGGTACATCCGGCGGTTCTTGTTACACCTGCGAAACACGTGGCACCACGGGCGAAACCACCCCGAGCCCACCAGAACCGGAAGCCACCTGTTCAACTGAGCTTTTCTACGACTAACAATAGCTGGAACTACCACTCGTCCTCTGCGCTCTTTTCTTATGGCGCGTTGCAATTAACTCTTTCCTTACCACGCCCATAAAGCGTCGATCACCGATGATCGACGAGTTTTAGCGACGTTTTAGCGAACGAAACAGAAGCCATGACGTTTCATCGAATGACACTTTGGCGAATACGGAAGAGCCGCCGGTTTCCTATCCTCCCCAATAGCATAGTTTGTCGAAATAGTACCTTAGTTCGACGAATCCCTAGGCGCGGTACACCCAAAGAAGCTAATATGCCGCTCGGATTAGCTTCCTTTTGTAATGAGCCGCCTTGTCTGTCGCCGCGAGTGCTGGTCCCACGTAGCCCAGTTTTTACTTTGACGACTAATCGGCTAAACATGTTGGTTGGGGATATGTGTGCGCTCGCTACATCACTGTTGTGCTGATTATACAGAGCGCACCTGAAAGCATGGTGTTCTAGAATAACGCAGGTATGCGCGCGCATGCGTGCCCTATCGCTTTGCACTGTATTAATATTACCCTGTATCATGATAATCTATGCAACAGTAATATCTGAACAAAGATTTGCCTCGTAGGGTAAATTGTAGGGTAATAAGAAACATTCGTAGGGTAATGTAGGGTTTTCTGGACGTTGGCGTGGGGTATTTTCAAAAAATAGGTTGGCAACACTGGATGGCCGTCTCCGGATTGTTTGACTCGCGCGGCACGGAACTACAGCCGCTACAGCCACTGCAGCACTACAGACTACAGTAGCGAAAGCACGCGGAACTGTGTCGACGTTTTCGACGTTATGGAAACCGCAGGAACTGTGTCCGCTGTGTCCAAGAAAGGCAGGTTTTGCTGCCGGCTGCCTGGGTGCCTTCCCCCCTGAGTTCGGTTCTGTTTTCCGATGCCGAGTGCAACCGGCGTTCAACGTGGTTCTGTGTTTGTGCGTGTCAGCAACATAGCTGCAACATCGTGATGGCAGTGTTGTGGGTTGTGAACGGAAGACTGGAATTATCGCCGATGTGACCGTGTGTTCGCTTATCAGTGGTGTAACAACAAGAGGAGATCGTAAACGGTCGGGCATTGATGCCGCTGGTCGGGCCGTGATCGGAGGGGGCGGGTTGTCGCAGTTTGACATTCTGCTTTACATTAAAAAGTTTAATACCGCTTGAGGGATTACGTGCAATCGATCAACGTGCGGATAGTCATGTTGGAACGCTGGTCTGAGCAGTATAAGCTCCTATCGTACAGTGGCCAATGTGGCTGTTGGTTGTATTGTCCCCGAGAGCGATTGCGCTCTGGGGCAAGGACAACAGTACGAAATTGTGACGGAAAGTACGTATATTTACAGTGTGGAATTTTAGCATTAAAAAACAATAGTAGGTAAAATCGAAAAAAAAAAAAAAAGCCACCATTTATTTTGCTGTTTAAATATATACTACGGTTCCTGGAGAAACTGCCCTCCAATTGGCAAGCTAGGATGAGCGCTAGAAGTTTTCGGGCTCTCCACGGCGTAGCTCCGTACACTTAACACCTGCCACAAGTCGCGGCTTTGACTGCATTCAAGTTGATCGAAAAGCGATTTCTCAGCCCGTGAAGCATCACTTCCAGCTGAGTGAATATCCGCTCTACAGAGATTAATTCAAGACGGCAATTGCAGCTTTGCGCGAACAGCAGAAATAGAAAAACAAACACTACAATAGAAATACAGGCTACGACGCGCCGTGCGGGGAAACAAACTCATGGCTTCGAACCGCATTGGAGCGGTTTGATTTATTGCTTTCAAATAATTACGGCGTGATCGAGCGTTTACTTTTTAATAAGAGATTCATCCCCTGAGCCATTCAAAATACTCTCAGAGGTATGACATTGCTGGGAAAAAATCAACATGCTGGGAATGTTTTTTATTGTTTAGGGAGTCACCGAAAAGTTCCGCACGTTCAAAACGACCAGTATAAAAGACGGAAACGTAGAACACGGGTGTAGTGTTCGGGTTAGTGTGGTGTTCTGTTGTATTGATATTTGTGTGTGCAGTGCATGTGCTTAATGTATGTTCACCTGATGCTTGTAATGGGTGTCATGTGTGTATAGCAGAGGATCCTCAAGCGCAGTAGTGGCCTGAGAGAAGCAAATTATTTTTTGTAGAACATGAATTGGGCGGTATCTAGCGCCACCTAGCCTAGCTACTTGCAATTACTCTGCTTGACCCCGCCATCTGGTGGCTAGCGATTTAACCTTCTTTCACGCTACGCGATAAACAGCGGCTTCGAGTTTGTTCTTTCGAGAACGGCTTTTGGTTTCGCGGAGTGAGTTTGCCCTTCTCCGTGATGTGCGGTTGACGAAGGAATTGTGACTTGAGGAACAGCAAAGGTAAGACGCAAAGTGCACGAAGTAACTCGGTATCGGTTGTCTCCGTTTAACATCGCAGTGCTGTCGACGAGAAGACTGAGTAACTGCTTTCGAAACGCAGGTTTCTGTACCTGTGGGGGGAATCTGGCTTCGGAAATAAACACAGTTTTCGGAAAGATCGTGTTACGCTTTCATTTGCTGCTGCTCTCGTCCCGTACAAGAGACGTAGCGTCCTCGTTAAGCCTTATTGGGCTCGATTTGCTCGATTCGGGGCCGCCATATTGAGATGCAAGCGACGGAGGAACTTTGCTCACCTGCTTCAGGGACGAAGGTTTCTCCCTTTCTAAAGGAACATAGGTTACAAGACCGTTCCTCCCGTAAGGGAGGACTATCCGTACCCTTTTTTCTAAGAGTGTATAGTGGGTAGACCTCAAGGCAGCTTGCTTCGAGGTCTACCCACAATCCTTCGATCAGAGCCAATCAAAACTAGGCGTCTTTCTGACGTCACCACGACTACTGAGCATAAAGCAGACGACTTTCTCTCCGCATAGCTCCGGTCCGCTTTGCCGCACGTGTATTTTGCAGCGTCTCACAACGCGCACCATGCAGCGCGCGGCGACGCGCGCGCCTGCCGTCTTGCAGCGTGATCTTGTCGAGCTTTTCAGAATGTCTTCCGCTAGGGGCGGGTCGGGGATCTACTTGCGATAACGCAATGCGTAAGTCTTGTGTTCTACGTACTATGGGTCTTGTCGATCACTCAGATTAGTCGCTAGGCTGCCGCACGCACACAGTTGAAAACAGAAATAGACTGAGCATTGGCGCGATGCTACTCACCGACTCCTCTGGGCCAAGCAGAGCGAGATGACCAGGGCCAGCATGACGGACAGGAAGACGGACAGGCCGATGAGCCAGGTGCGCATCTGGTCCTCCTCGCGCTCAGCATCGCTCAAAGCGTCCGCCGGCTGCACAAACGGCGATTATGAAACCTGAGGGCGGACGCCTCACTGACGGCGGCATTTCTCTCAAAGTGCCTCGCTCACTGCACCTCACACGACGTGTGCTCGGAAGAGCGTAGTCGCACGGGAGCTTCATTTGCACGAGTTCTTGTGCAGCAGAGACACTCTGCTGGGCAATATATGCTCTCACCTATGTTTTTGATAGGGATGTGCGCAGCATGTGTCATGCCGTGCAAGAAAGCACCAGGCAAATGCACCACACAATGTCCGGCTACCAGCGGGAGGTTTCGTCGTGTAATACGAACATCCAAACATTGTCGCTGGCAGCTACCCGCGACGGAATATTCGAAGCATTCTTTCGGAGTGAACGTGCCTGACCCATTTAAGCCACTCGTACGCGGTGCTGAGAACCCAACCTTGCAAGCTCAGGCACAACTTTCTGAGGCAATGCAGTCAATGCTATGGGTGCCCGAGCGCTCGGGCACTTTGAGCGCTGATCAAAGGTGCACTATACGCACGAGGCCTCTGCCCAAACATTCTTGGGCATCAGGGAGCATCAGAGCCCAATGTACGTGTGAACGTTTATATTATTATTGTCAGCGACAACTTAAAAACGTAGTAGACGCTCCGCGTTCAGCGCACGATCATTGCCTATCGCCAGGATTGGGCTGCGAGTGCGACGAGGAGTTATCAAAGGCAAAACGTTTGCGTTCGAGGCGGAGCATGCATCTACTGGGTTTTTAATCTGTCACAGTAGTTATTATGCTAAAACTGCCTCGGATATCAGGGGGTCAGTATCATTAACTGCCCATACCGCTAGAACTTCAGACATTCTATCGCGCAGCCGCACCCTGCACATTTGGACGTCATGGATATAGACCAGCGTTTCAGGTTGACGTAAGTCGTCAATCTCGTCCGAGTTAGATAAACATAAAGCAAGCGCTTACTTCGCTGTATAGCACGTTGAATTCCTTGAAGAGCTTGTCCAGGAACTCTATGTTCTTGTCGATCAACCTTGAATAGAAACGCGGCCGTGAGCCTTCTTAGTTCGTCTTTGATGATTGAGACGGGCTTACGTGAGGACCGTGGACACCTCCATGATGGAATTGTCCTCCCGGTTCACGAAATGCAGGTAGAGGTCACTCCTGCGGGACGACACGCGAGTGGTCACGGATGCGTGCTGAGCGGCGTCAAGAGGACAACCACTTACTTTTTGCGGTCCACAGAGCCGTCTTCGTTCTCGTGCACCTTGGCCTCGTCGACGTTCACGATAGCTCCCGTGATGTTGGCCAGCACCCTGCGGAACGAGCGCTCGGTCAGGGAACTCGTCAGAACGGACAGCGACACTCGTCTCACTCTCGGAATTCCTCCATCTTGTCCCGAAACTCCTCGGGCGTCAGCCGCAGGACGAACCGGACTCGCTGGTCCTCCCTCAGAAGGTAGATCTGAAAGGGTAGTTGGAGAAGTTCGAACCTCGAGCTCCGCAGCGACATTTGACCGGAGCCTACGGCGCACAGTGTAGCTCATCGTGAAAGCGCTGCAGCGCAGGTGTGAACCTGTTCGATAGGAACTGAACACTCGTAGGGCGCGTGTCCTCTCTGTCTTCTTCAGAGCAATGGCTCACTACGGAGGCAGCCATTGTAGTGCACCCGCTACGAGGCCTTTCAAACGTCCGAGCATTCGGCTGTGGTTTAAGTGGAGGGGAACTTTTATAGGCCAGGCTTCCGACTGCGTTGCTTCGGCATATATACTGTATCGCGGCTAAAGACTATGCATATTGTTCCTGCTATGTTCCAAGCTTGAAATTAATCAACGACAAACGAAGTTCTAAACAATTGTTATTTCTTTTTCTAACCACTGAAGGCACGACTGAAAAATTCGTATGCAGGTATACGCATATATTTTGCAAAAATATTGCACTCCTAGTTTTTGTGTCCTCTTCACCTGACATATATCGTAAACTGGGTCGATACCTTAATACGGGTAGTGTGCAGCCGCACTTGACCTTACGCAGAGCCCAAGACAGAGCATCTGTTGCCCGAGGGGCGTTAATCGGTGGCATCCGGCACTAGAAATTAGTCCAATGGCGCCAGGCACATTGAAGTGCGCAGGAAAAGTGCTGTAGTGCAGTATGCATTTCTGAAGCTGGTCACACACGTGCAGCACTTACATATGTGCTGTACGAGTGCGAATACTCCCGGACGGACTCAAAGTGGTCGGGAAGACAAGCCTAGGGCACGAGTCGCGAAGACGGGGCGGGTCAACGGGGACAGTGCTTACAAAGACCCTGGCGCTGTCCTGCAGGCCCTGGGTGTCGTTGGCGACGACGGTGAGGTCGAAGTAGCCCTTCATGCCTCGCTGCGGGTAAAAGTTGAGGCTGAGCTCCCCGGTCCGATGGTTGATGAGAAACGGGGGCCCCGTGAGGGACTCCAGGCCTTCGGACAGCGTGCGCCGGATCTCGCCCACCAAGTAGTAGCTCACCAGGCTGTTGATGCCGTCGTCAAGGTCCACCGCCTGCAGAACGGGCCGCTCGGGCTCGTAGTTTTCTCTCCCACAAGTCTCCGGGCAAAGTTAACGTAAACTAAGGGAGCATAGAGCCCGTACCAGCAGTTCTATCGATGAGGAAAGTTCACTTTCGACAGAACGGTCTAGTTTGTCACGTATACACCGCACGCAAAACCTTCGCGTTGCTATCGGGAGCTCGTATGGTCGAGTTGAGTTTAACAGAGCAGGTGCCCGCATGGCCCAGTCCGCAGTCTACAGTCTAGGAAAAGTGTCTAATAAATATTGCGAGAGTTATTGGGAAGAAAGAAACATGACGATAGATAAAGAAATATCTGCTTAGTTGGATGGTTCCTGTGTACGCCCTCCCACATATCTTCACCGAGTTAATTAGACCGTCACAAGGACGTTGAGACCTCCACCCGCCCTGGTTGTTCAGATATACACGTGATGTCATATGCAAGTACGACACGGTAGAGGACGGCCTCAGTCAGCAGGCCGAAGGCGGAGGCACTCACCCTGACGGCCATGAAGACGACGCCGAAGTCGGCCTCCATGGTGACGCCGCCCGTGAAGACCGGGCTCACGAACCTGGGTGGGTTATCGTTGACGTCGAGCACGGTGATCTGGACCTGGAGCAGCGTGTTATCCCTCGAGTCGAAGCGGGCCACGGGGCGCGGCTCGTGGAAGCAGTCATCCGAGGCCCGCACCAGCAGCGTGTAGTTGGATTCCTCCTCACGGTCCAACACCTCGCTCGCCGACAGCTGGTGCGTGAACAGGTCCAGCGAGAAGCGGCCGCGCTCGTTGCCACCTGTAAGCACAGCTCGGCTAAAGCGCCTCATCGCGTGCTTGCGTCTTTGCACCATATCGGAGCCCGTGGTCTTTATGTGATATTCACGGATACGCACACAGAAGAGAACTCATCAGTGCGCGAACTCGCGAAAATAGATAAGTAAACAGTGGTGGCACGCCAACTGCCGTGTACGGTGCGACTGTGCACCAATAACCGCTTTCTGTGTACTGCCATCTTTGTCTATTTCGCTGTGGAACGTGAACCTGCGCAGCAGCTCTTCTCTACGGAATATTAGACATAGTGTATGCGTTCACAGCCCAATTATTCAGCATTTTTCACCTGGGTGATTAGCGCTGGAAAAATGCAGAGCATCACGAAGACAAAGAGCTATGACGTGGTCAAATAGGGTTACCTCCATTTCGTTAACGTAAAAAAAAAAAAAAAATGAACGCATCTTCACGCGGTGAATGATGTTGATTGAGGCGAAGCTCTGGTGGTGCTGATGATACTGATTTTATCGTTCATAATTAGTGCTGATGGTGCTGATTTTTTGTATTGCTCATAGGTAGTGCTGACGTTGCCGTTTCGACTTCATTATTACTGCTTTATGGTCGGTGAAATTCAGAGCGTGGTTCTTCTAGCGGATCAGCTTCGATCCGCTAAAAGCCGTGGCAACGCATCTCCACCGCTTAAGTCAACGGTCCATGTCAGAAAGAGAATCTGTGGTATGGATCGTGGCTATGTACGCATTTGAGCATTTGACCGCAGCGCCCTCTCGTCTATAATACGTTGAGCCAATGCATGCAAAGTTTAACGCGATTATATACGCATTTGACGGCAGCGTCCTCTCCTGTATAGACGTTGAGCGGCTACAGTTACATGCAACGTTGGAGTGTACCGTAGTGGTTAAGACGTCTGCCTCGTAAGCAAGCGGTCCTGAGTTGGAACCCACGTGCGGGCGTACGTTTCTTTTTTTTTTAAATGGGCCGATTTCGGAGGCAGTGCAATCGATGTGAGCACGAACGCCGGACAAGACTAGACCCTAAGGAGCTTCGCCCTTAAAACAAACCGCTTAGGCTTTCGCCAAAATCCCGCGACCACAGAAGCCGTTCACGGGAGCCTCCTGGTCGCGTAACGTCAGGTCACGTGACAATATGGTATTGTGGCCTCTTGTGCATGCTCCGTTCGCGATTTTGGGTCTCTTCAAGATCCCCTTACCCCACCACCACTCCCAGAAAAAAAAAAAAAAAGGGACAGAAGCAGAAAAACGGACTCTTCGTTCTTTCTGAATGTCGTATAGAGAATTATATGCTGCCTCGGAACCTTTGAAGCCGACCCTGTGGTCGCCCACGGTGTGTTCCCAACTCACCGACGATGTAGTAGCAGGGAATGGGCTTCAAGATGCTCAGGTCGTCGTCGCGATCGATCGTGTTGATCAGCTTGTAGCTCTCCGCGCCGGGCTTCATGTTCTCCGTAAACGTAAGCTGGTGCTGCGAAAGAAACGAACCACGTGTGCTCCAACACTAGGTTCGAGAACCTGCAAAGCATGCCGCACTTACCACATCTTCTGTGAACTCTGGGGCGTAATCGTTCACGTCTGTCACGAACACGGTGAGGTCCAGGTCACTTGACAGGGACGTCGGCTGGCCCAAGTCAAACGCTTCAACACGAAGCTGCGAGAAAAACATTCGATCAAGAGTCGACTTGACGATATATCTTGCAGAACAGTGTCCAGTCGGGTCTCGGATATTTTCAATTCATTATGAGCTCAAGAGGACCCTGAACACAATAGGGTCTTGACGGAAATCGTACGCTGTAAATTGCCGGCCCTGAAGGCGCGTGGCGCTCAAAGTGACAGCACGGGCCCTCGCTAAAATTGTAAAGCTTTTGTGTACAATCTACGAAAGGTCATGAATCTTGGAGGGGCTTTTCTTATGCAAGCAGCAAACGTCACTCAAAATGCGCTTTGCAGTAAGAAGTCTCGGATTTATCCATCGCCTAAAGTAATTGTGTTGTTTTTATGTGTTTAGACAGCCTCGAAATTAGTCTACCTCGACGGCCGACTTGTCTCACTCACAGCTGTAGATAAGACATTTAGCTAGTGCTGTAAGACCGTTAGCCTGGGGTCTTTAGCATGCACCACGCAGTAGTGATCCACGACCCCACGCTGGTACGATGCTTATCCAGACCAAAAAGGGGAGGGGTGGAGATTCAACCCAGGGATCCTCATCCACCGCCTAGAAGAAGAGGCCTGTGGCTTGTCATCTAGGCGCACGCCTATTTTGCCGTTCAGGGGCCCTAATCTACACAGCGGGACCAAGCGGGACCAAGGGACCGATATTGCTGCGATTGGCCAGCTCCGCCCCGCAGACCAATCGCACCAGGCGGGATTGGTCCCGGTCCCTCGGTCCCACTTGGTCCCGCCGTATAGATTCGCACCACAGGTCGCCGCGAGCGCGCCTCGGGGTGTCTCGAGTCATTGGCAACGCCAAGACTCAAGAGTTTGCCGCGTTGCGGCGTACTCTCCTCAAGCTTGCACGTGTTTGCCGCTTTGGACGGGCCAGGGATCTACTATCGACGATATAATACACGGGCCTTGTCCTCTTTTGGCTACCACCTCAGCAGCAGAGCCTTTGGAAGGGGCACCCACCTCGTAGACCTTCTGCGTTTCGCGGTCCAGCGGCAGCCTGAGCGTGATGATGCCTGTGATTTCGTCCAGCCGAAAGGTCTTCCAGTGGTTGTTGGGCAGGTCCTTGAGTCGGTAGCGCACCTCGGCGTTGGCCCCGAAGTCGCCGTCTTCGGCCCCCACCTCGACGACCACCGTGCCCAGGGTGGCGTTCTACGGAGGAACAAGGCGGAGCTGTATACCTTAAAGCGCCCGATGTTAAAGAGTCAACGAATGACGCAGAGACGAACTGCCCGAAGTACGGTTGCACCGGCAACCCGAGACAAGTGCAGGTGAACTTCTATCTTTTTTAGAATAGCTCAAAATATTCTTTGTGGTGCCTTTCGTTTATAGCATGTGTGTTGATATTTACTACTCGCTGTGTCGCATCAAGTGCAGACAAATTAAGAGCTACAAGATGGGCATTGAACAACTCTAGAACCGCACGTAAGTATTAATCTGCACGTAACTAAATGCACGCGTACAGCAAGTATGGTAAAAGTGTGAGGCTCGACCTTGTAGCTTATTTATCTCGACGGTAAGGAGAGGCGGCGCGAGAACTAGGTGCCTTTCCGTGATGTTTCACGTGGCTCAGCGACCGTTTCGACCACCTGGAAATGGTTATATTCTTCCCTCGTCTCGTCACCGACATAGAAGGGTTAGGCCTTTGTGCTTGTTTTGCTTTTACGTTGAGGTTAACACAGCATCATTCAAACTGAGCGAACACATAAGCTACTTTCCCGCGTTTTATTACGATATTATACGCACAGAACTTGAATTTCGTTCCAAAGTTAGCAACACAAGCGTGTGCGCAAAAACGAGTTAAAGATAAACAACCGGGAGGCTGAAGCACTACCTCGGGTATCCGTATGGTGTGGTTCTGGGGCGGCCTGATGAAGACAGGGCTGTGGTCGTTGACGTCTGACACGCAGACGGTGAACCTCTGGACGGACGAGCGCGGAGGCAGCCCCTGGTCCTGCGCCTTGAGGGCCACAGTGGCGTTGCCCACACGTCCGCGAAGAGAGTACCGGTTGGCCACTCTGGCCGTGTTGTCCGGCAGCGTCTCCACCTCGAACAGGTCTGCAAGGGACGGGCGATTTCCTCGCACGACCTTACGACCACGCCGCGTCTGGCCGAAGGGCATCAACGCCCTTTTATGACTTCTGTTCTATTTATCTGGAAGCCTTCTACTCTCGCTAGTTGCTGCGGTTCGAAATTACGCCGGGCACTCTAACTCAGCGTCGATATTTGTGTCCAATATTCGAGAATCATATTAATTCATAGAACGCCATCACGAGGGCGCTTTGTAAAGGGACCATCAAACAATATTTTGAGTATAGTTATAAAAAATGTAAGACGTTTACAATCCCCTGTAACGCCGAATAAGAGCGCAGCTCTTGAGGAGGAGGAGAGGAAGGCACGGAGAGGAAGGTATGCACTCCTCTTTTTCATCCGTACCCTTCCCTCCTCCTCTCCTGCTCCCTCCACACTTAGGGGGAAATTTTCGCTGAATTTCCCGCTAAATTTAGCGAAATACATTTTCTGCTAAATTCAGCAGGGAATTTTGTTCACTAAATTTAGCAGGGAATTTTTTTCCCGCTAAATTTAGTGGGAAAATTTTTCCGCTAAATTTAACGCGGAAATTTTTCCGCTAAACGAAGCAAAACATTTTTTCCGAGCAGGACATTTCTTTTTTTTACTAAATTTTCTACTAAATCTAGCAGGGAATTTTTCCCGCTAAATTTAGCGACGAATGTTTCTGCTAAATTTAGCGAGGAATTTTTTCCGCTAACTTTAGGGGGAATGTTTTCGCTAAATTTAGCGGGGAATTTTTTTCATGAAATTGAGGGGGAAATTTAGCAGGGAAGTTTTTCACTGAATCTAGAGGGAAACATTTTTTGGTAAATTTAGCGTGAAAGTTTTTTGGGGAATAGCTTTTCACTAAAGTTAGCAGGTAATTTTTTCCGCTAAATTTAGCGGGAAATTATTTCTGCTAATATTAGCGGGGAAATTTTCCTTTTAGTTTAGCGGGGATTTCTTTCCGCTAAATTTTGCGGGTAAATTTTCTCGCTAAATTCAGTGGAAAATTTTTTCTGCTACATTTAGCGGGGAAATGTTCTCGCTAAATTCAGCGGGAAACTTTTCCGCTAAATTTAGTGGGGAACTTTTTCTGCTAAATTTAGGGGGGGAATTTGCCAGTAATGCAACTCGCGGTGACGTCGCTCGTGACGTCGCTCGTGACCCTCGTGATTTCACACGTGACGTCACGTGTGACGCCATTATGGAAAACGTCCCATAATGCAACGCGCGGTTACGCCGACGCCAAAGGCGACGCCGCTCAAGCCAGAAATGGACGCCTAAGAGCTGCGCTCTAAAAATTGCAGACAGAGCCCTTCCACTTCACGTGAAGATGGAGAACCAGCGAAGCTGTTATTTTTAGGATGTCTAGGACGATGCATAGAGGACGACGTCTAGGACGACCTCAGGGGTGACTTCAGGACGACCTCTCAAATGACATCTAGGACGACCTCAAGGGCGACCTCGAGGACAACGCCTAGAGGACAACCTGCCGGAAGAAACTCAAGGACGACTTCTATGACGACCTCGAGGACGATGCCTAGAGATAATAACAAGGGATCAGGACCTCACTATCTAATAAAGCCAAGGAAGGCTGACTCACGCTAATTCGCCCCCCCCCTTTTTTTTTTAAAGTTTAGTCATACTTGCCATGACCAATGGGGAGTTTTCTGTCAACCTCCGCGGACGCATTTTTGACAGAGCCTAGAGCATAACAGCTTCGCTGTAATACTCAAGTGCAAGCAGAAACTGAGGGAGAGGAGGAAACAAGAACGCGCGAAGATGCCGGAACGCCGAGCTCTGGTTAGAATGATTGGTTGATAGACGTAAAGAGCTGCCTTTGTCTCCACAGCACTCGTCGAACGCGTTCGAATGCGAACGCCAAACGCCGGACGCCCGCATTCCGCTTTCAAACGCGTTCGGCGTCTACAGTGGAGACAAATGCTTTCAGGGTAGCCTGCAATGATTCTAACCATAACTCGGCGTTCCGACATCTTCTCGCGTTCTTGTCGCCTCCTCTCTCTCAGTTTCTGCCCACATAATCACCTTCACCTTATGATGTACCGCAACGTACGTTACGAAGCTTGTTAGCCAATTCAGCGCCACATACAAGTGACTTCGAGCTCCGATCAACCGGAAAATCACGTGACACACTCGGACTTATGGGTTGGCTCCGGTGGCTCAAGGTACAGCCAGCGTCCGTTGCGGCACATCGATGGAGAACCCCAGTACTATATATATATATATAGCAGGTGAAAAAAAAAAAAAAATGCAGTTCCCTCCCCACTCCCCCGTTTCTTTATTAAACGGCTTGAAGCGACATTTAAAGAGGCGCTTCACAGCCGGGAGTGTGCAGAGCTACGATATTCACGGTCAAACTGAGAGCGCAGCTTTAGACCCGATGAGGTCAACTCGCAAAAGTTATATGTAACTGCTGCAAGTGCCGCTAAGTATGATCTTTCGGGACTCCTCCTTGCTGGGTGCGAAGGGCGCAGGCAGGAACTCACCCGCGTCGAATCCTGACTGAAGGGTAAAGGTGATCTTGGAGTTTGGACTGGTGGGATCGTCTCCGTCCGTCGCGGAGGCCAAGAAGACCGTCTCATGGGCGCGATGGAACTCGCTCACTTGAGCGCACTGCGTTGGTCGGACGAACACCGGCGACTCGTCGTTCACGTCCACAACTCGGACGCTGACCTGGAAACAGTTATTTTAATCTTCAGTCAGTATCTCGAGGACGCTGAAGAGCCACAGTCTCAACGCTTCTACACCATACAAAAGACCAAAAGACACTGTGTTCGGTAAAGACATGATAACAGAAGTAGCTGCGGACACGCCTCAAAGATGTTCAAAACATGTTTGCTTCATATATATATATATATATATATATATATATATATATATATATGGTATATACTGTGAACATGTCTGCAGACTTTTTTTCGTATCATCAATGTGACAGGAGCATCATACAAGGGAAAAATACGCCTCAGACAGAGTCCACGGTCTGCCTGTTTTATGATGGATCAGCAGTTTCATTGTGGCCTTTTACAGCAGTGAAAATTCAGATACGATGTGCTGATGCAAGTGATTACACGTTTCAAGACACAAGAAGGTCAAGCGCTAGTACCTACGACGCAAATATTATTACACGAAAAAAAAAAAAGTATTGCGTAGTACTGAAGGGAACCTGATGTGGGAAGCGATAACAGCCAGCCAGGCAAAAAAAAAAAAAAAAAAGAAATCACGGCGCTTAACAGGTAAAGTTACCTTTAAAGAAATCATTGGATTAAAAGAGAAAAGGTATGTTATAGGTAAAAAGAGCGCATCTGGACAAGGACGAAGAAAAAGGAACAGGCAAGACTCAGCCCGTTCTTGTCCTTCGTCCTTGTCGAGTGGCGCTGTTTTTACCTCAAGCTGTCGAATAACCGACTAGCCTAAACAAACCATCTAGTGTGTTATATGCTCAACATAGCACGTATGTCACAAAACAAAAAATAGCGTAATATTTCTGTCTTGAGACTCGTTTCTGATAAGGAGAAATTCCGAACCATTATTCTATTTGGGGCTTACGTCTCGTAATAGAAGCATGTTTCGAATTAGCTCCCCATTCGAAATCTGTCTCGCACTCCAGTCCATGGCACTTAAAAAATTTTTTTTCTTCTCTTATATTTTTTTATGGGAGGATGGCGGTGGGGAACGTGAGTTTAGTGTGCCTTTAAGTGGGGCGGAGAGGGAACAAGGATTATGTCTAGGTTGTACCGCATTAAGGTGGACTCACTTGTTTGAAAGTTCTGCGACTTTCGTCGGTTCCAAAACCAGCCTCGTAGTTGTCCCAGGCTTGAACAATTAGGGAGTACGACGCAGTTTCCTCACGGTTCAGTGGCATTGCCACCGTTATGATGCCCTGCAAAACAAGTAGTATACCAATGAACACTGTTGACATATCACCCAGTCAACGTCCTGCGCAGCGATATAGAATCGATAAAGACTCAAAGCATGAAACGAACCGTTGCACGGAGGCTACACCAATCATGCTTCCCTCGCGTACATTGGCGACTCCAACAAACTATTTGTTTCATGCTTGCCGCCACATGTTTAATTTCGGTCACCTGGTGCTACCAGGGTTTTTTAGCGGGCGTGAAGAAACGGCTCGCCTATTTTTACAGCTTCGCTCTTCGCTCACTTTTGTTGCAACAGGTTTGTTTCAAAACACCAGGGTATGAATTTTATATGGTTGTTTATTCGGGATTGTGCCAAAAATTTACAGCATCTGGCCACCAGGATTTAAAGGTGTTTCCCATGCAAAAGAAACTATGACAGGCTATAGGAACATTGCTTTTGTTATAAAAGTAAATTGAAATAAGGACTACTCCAGCAAACAGGGTACCTCAGAAAACAGTCCTATCTTCTTTCGTTCCATTTCTTTGATGACAGATGGGACGTACTATAGTTTATATTGATGATATAACCTTCATTACTGGATCTACAGATTTTCAGACCTCATAAATTAAACTTCGAAATTGCCTCTAGAGGCTATCGACGTGGTTAGCTAATGTAATTCTCTATATGAATGCGACTAAAACAATCACTATTAATATTTTCAGTCGATGAAGAGTTAATAGTTCAACTGCATGTCAATGATCAATAAATTCCACACATTTGCAACTCGAGACATTAGGTATGATATACGACGAAGAATTTAGCTGGAAATGACATAGAGGTTGTACTATTCCGTGAACCTAAGGCAGTAGAAGTATTAACCAATATGCAACCATACGTACGAGACAGCGCCAGTCTGCAGCAAGATCTATATGCGCCAAGTACCGAACTTTGGTTGCATAATATAGAATCAGACCCATATTTCTGCTAAAGAAGAAATTCCTACGACTATTTTTGAACCTCCCGCAATGTACAGCGAATATAATGTCCTCAACCTAGAACTTCGTATATACTTACAACTCGGTTAATTCTTAATTTTAGCGGTTCAGATCTATTTACAGGGACTCAGCAGCCCTTTTATAACCCAAGGAGTTAAACAAAAGCTCCTCCTGATCCCTGGCTGTGAGTTCGTCATCTCGGAGACCATCCATTTCAGTGCGAACTTGCACGAGATTTTTTTTAGTTTCAGTTGTATACTTTATTTTACGTTTGTTCCGCTTGTATCCAACTCGTTAAAAAGTGTAAATAGGCTCTCTACTGAACCGGTAATGAAACGCTCATGAGAATTCCGTCAACCAAGGTTTATGTCTTTAGCCTATACAGTTTGTATCCCAGTTCCACCTCTCGAATACCTAAAAACACCCCTTAAAGGGGTGGATACGGAATCGGTAGACGGAATCCAGGGTTGAGCGTATAAATCTTATTCAACGTCGTTTCTTTTTGTGTGTATCTCGGGGAGGTCAAAAAAAAAAAAAAAGTTTCGCTGAATATGCCAATACTGTATGGGATCGTACAATAAGCTCAGAGATGTGTCGGAGTTTTATGAAGATGATAGGGTTTAGAAAATATTCAACTTTGCGAATACTACTTTCGAATACAGTGAAACCCGTTTAGAACGAACCCCATGTACAACGAATTATTGTCAATATCGAACTCGCGAAAAATTCAAATAAAGATGCATGAAAAAGTACGAACAACATATTGGCTAAATCGAACTTTTTCTCCCCGGGAAGGCCTCCAAAAGCGCGCAAACAATCGTCTTCTAGCCTGCCCTTCCGTCAAAAAAGAAGTAGGAAAGAGAGAACATTCCAAAAGCTTAAGTTGCGAACAAAATCGAGCGAGGAGAAGCAATTCAGTAGGGGAGAAAGTTAAAAAATACTCTGCACGCACGCCAAGAAAAAAAAAAAAAAAAAAAAAAAAAACTTTTAATTTAAAGGTTCGTTGACACTCTTGCAACCGAGTACGACCGAGAGAGACCAAACCGGTTTTGAAGCCTCTTGCGATCTCTTAGGACCAACTCCGCTCAGCGCATCCGGTCTCAAGAAGTCTTTCTCGGTCGTACTCGGTTGCAAGAGTGTGAACGCGCCTTAAAGCGTTTGCCCACGAAGACAAGCGATTCAGGAAGAGAGATTAGCTATAAGAACAAACCTTGCAAGCATGCAAAAAAAAAAAAAAATTAGTTTGAGTTACAAGGCGAAAGTGAAGAAATGAGAAGGAAAGAGAAGCTCTCGCCTTACAACGACCACATGTGAAAGTTCGTTGTAAACGGTTTTTGCTATATCGAACTACTCGCTATATCGAACTGATCGTAGCGTTTCCTGCTGTTCGTTATAAACGGGTTTCACTGTAACACACAATTCGACATTTGCTTTGAGGTTAACTGCGATATTCGTACTTGATCGCGGCAGGTTAGCCCCGGACACGGACAAAACAGTTCAATTATCTGGGCCTAGGACACGCAGCTCTTTGTGAGCCTATCCCACCGGCATCGGCAAGACTTGACTGTCAGCGAGTCATGCACGACTATATTCCATGGACTGTGATGCCGCTACAGACGATCTCGGACGCGAAGATAAAGCAAGGGCTGAGTTTCGTGACGACAAGTGCTCTGTACTCATGCTCTTCCTGATTCATTTCCCAGATTACTTTGTGTTGTTTTTCTTAGTGTTGCACATTGTTTTAGCTTAGTTTTAGAGCGCAGCTCTTAGGGGCCCGTTCCCGGCTTGAGCGGCGTCGCCGTCGGCGTCGGCGTAACCAAGGTCACCCCAAGGTCATGTGACCCCCCCCCCCCCCGTACCCTCCCTCCTCCTCCTCAAAAGCTGCGCTCTAATTCGGTGTTACAGAGAGTTTTAAACGGCTTTCACTTTTTTGCTTTTCATTTCTGCGGATATCGTTTGATATAATCTTCGATTGCTTTCTTCAAAGGGAAAGGTGAAATGTCACAAGAAAGAGAACAAGCGAAAGGAGAGACTTGCCGAGTCCCTGTCGATCTTGAACTTGCCGTCGGTGCCAGCGGCGTCGAGGGCGTACGTCACCCTGCCATACCCTCCGACATCAGCGTCCACCGCTTGGACGGTGGCCACCGATGAGCCTACCCTGGCGTCCTCAGAAACGGAGAACTCGGATGGTCCGTATTTGAAGATGGGGTTGTTGTCGTTCTCGTCGAGCACCTGGATCTGCAGGTCCGTGACTCCAGACAACGGGGGCAGCCCTGAGTCGGTCGCCTTCAGGGTTACATTGATCCAGCTGTACAGCTCGCGGTCGATCTTGCCAGTCACCGTGACCTCTCCTGTGCAAACATCATGTGTCATCGGGGCGCGGAGTCATCTTTCACTCGGGTACAGCGGAAACCTGTGCGAGCATCGCTTTGAAAATTGAAATAGACATCAGCGCGCGTGTCATTTCCAGATAAACTGTTCAGAAGATAGACCCGAGATGAGGGGTAATTGTTCTTGTCCCGGACAACAGGAGAACGGCAGCGAGGTGGTTCAGTTGAGCAGCGTCCAGCGCGGGCTTCCCTTCCATAACGCTTCAGGCATCTCGTGACCATCGAGTGTGCAAGCCCAGCCAAAGCACGGCGGAAGCCAACGAGCGCGTGGTGAGGGCAGGACATCCAAAGGAGAAGCCCTGCCGTTCTCATCCTGCCAGTGACTTTAGAAGCCAATAGCCTTCCAAATACATCTATTACAAATAGATGTATTTGTAATTCATCTATTACAAAAAAAAATTGTTCGCCTCATTGCTAATGTTTCTTATATTTCAAGCTCCGAGGGTCTGCTTGAAAAATATAATTTGTTGCGTGTTTTCGATATGTATACGTATAAACCTATGGTCCGCTTTAAGGCAGAAAAAAAAAAAGAAACGTGGATATTTTGGCCAAACTTTCTAAACTAAGGGAACATGTTACCTCCTATCCAACTCGTTCGGCGGCACGTTGGGCTGTGCCTCTTTGCCATAACAACTATTCCACGCAGTCTCTAAAGTATATGCTACCTACTTTACTAAATTTCCTTTTAAACAAAAACGTTGATATAATGTCTGTTCAAATGCAAGATTTATTTTCTTATATGAATTGAATATATCAGTTGTCTGCGATGGGTTATGATCTATTTTTGTATACAATGTTGATATTTTTGCTGTTGCTTTGTATTTGAATCTGTCATGAGGAACTGTAAAGGAGCAGGGAGCTCCGTCAAGCTGTTCAACAGCTTTTTCCCTCCGTTTCCTTCATTCCTGTATCGAATGGGAAATAAATTTTATTATTATTATTATTATTATTATTAACCTCTACTGACTGCCATAACTGCCATCCACTACGGCAAAGATGTCTTTCATGTTTTGATTTTTGTGCATTGGTAGATAATCTCAGCTAAACCGTTGAGAACCATGACATACCCGTCCTGCGGTCAATGTTGATCAAGGCAAGATACTCCGCTTTTCCCTCCAACGAATAAGTGACGGTGTGGTTCTTGTCGGCGTCCACCGCTCTAGCCGTGACGATCGGAGCTCCGACCACAGAGTTCTCGGTAACTGTTTGTCGATAGAATGGCTTCTTGAATGTAGGCTTGTTGTCGTTCACATCCATGACCTTGACCGAAAGCGTGGCTGAAAGAAGCATGACATGAGTTGAGCGCCGTGCGATGGATATCGTGTGCCGAGAGAAGCCCACTGGGTCGAGCGAACTCACCTGTGGCCGTCTGGTGCGGTGTGGCGGCTGCCATGTCTTCCACTCTCACGCAGACCTTTATCGACTCCATCTTCTCGCGGTCCACATTGTTCTTCACCATCAACTTTCCTTCCAAAGCGTGTATCTCGAACGTCTGTTGAACGTCGAATTCGCTCACCAGAGCGCCGTCCTCGTTTCTCGCCTCACTCGATGCCCGGCACAGTGAGTACCTTAGCATGGGTCGGTCGTCCTGGTCTGTCGCCCGAACGATAGCGACCGTGTGGCCCGGGACGCTGTTTTCCACGAGCTCCACCGTGCCCGGGTCGTCGAAACGCGGAGCCTTGTTGTTCACGTCCACGATGGAAATGTTGACGGTGACCATGGACGACCGCTGCTGCTCACCCAGGCCCCCGTCGAGAGCGAGGATCTGCAGACTGTAGAGCACGGACTTGGGGAATGTCCGGTCTGGATCGAGGTTGGCGCCGGGAGCCACGGAGATCACTCCCGTAAGTGCGTCGATCACAAACTTGTCCTGGGCTCCGTTCTGGATACGATAGACTACCTTGCTGTTGCTCGGCGAGTGGTCCTGGTCTTCTGCGAGGACCTTGACGATGGCCGTGCCCTCCTGGACGTCTTCGGGAATTGACTTAGCTACGAAGTCGCTCGGAAACACGGGCGAGTGGTCGTTGACATCTTGGACGTACACGACGACACTGACATTGCTAGAGAGCGAAGGCCTGCCCAGATCGTAAGCGCGCACAACGAGGTTGAACGTCCGAACGTCTCCCCTGGGCTGCGCGATCCGCTCAAAGTCAAGAGGTTGTCTCGGCTTTATGCGTCCCTTGGCTTCGTCGATGGTAAAGTTGTTGTCCGGATCGCCCCGCACGATCTGGTAGCGGACCTGACAATTTTCTGTGCCCGCCTGGTCTGCATCTACGGCCTGAAAACAGAGTACACAATTTGATCGGGTACTTTTTATTCAATTAGAGCAAATAAGCCTGTGTCGATCACCCTTCAAGCTACTCTCGCTGATAGCCAGTCAGACGCTCCTCTTTGCCGTTTTTGTTGTGCAGGTACGTGCTAAAATGCGGGTATACTCGTATTCACATCAAGAGCCACAGTAAATAAGGTCGAGCTCCTCGCGGAACATTACTAACTTACTGGAGGTACATTTCAGATTAGCTATGTGTCGTTTTACCGAGAAATACACGTTTAAATCGCCAAGATCGTTATTTCTTCCCACGACAACCAGATCTCGTAAGGACTACTTGACGCAACGTAGAAACTATACGCAAACTTTTATTTTAATGCGAAAGCATTAACTATCTTATGAAGCGAAGCCAGCGGCGTCTGTAACCGAAAAAACAACAAGAAAAAAACCTCGAAGTACACCTAAGCATTTCTTACGAGTTGTGAAAGCGAAAGCATGCAAGCCGCTCGTCCGCTCCCTTTGTCATCTGCTGCGTGCTAGCGCGCGCGCGCTTCGGGATCTCGGAGGCCATGGCGCAGCGGCTTATGAGAGCCCCGTCGGCGAGCGCCAGCCAGTGGAACCGAAGGCGCGCGGAAACTAGGAGCCGTTTTCGCGCTTCCAACTGATGACGTCACCTCGCTCCATGAGACCAGTTATTGCTTCCGCATTTAAAAAAAAAAACGCGAAAGAAAACCCACTGGCTGAGCCAAACGGCTTTTAGATAGCCACAGGTGGCCGCTTCACCAGAGCGCGCGCTCGGCCGACGCAATCTAACTATTGTTTATTCTTGATTTGCATTGTTTTTTGGTGTTCCTTGCATTGTGCTTCGTTGCCGTATTATTTTACCAGTTGCTTTTACAAGTGTAACTCGTTGCCACTCCTGTCAAAGTCCTAATCAGGACTGACAGTATGTCAAATAAATAAATAAATCTCGTGTTAGGCGTGGCCGGAGGGGGGTGGGGGGCTGCGGCCGCTTCTGCTTCTCTCGGCGCCTGAGGCAGCTATGTCGTCGGCGGCCGCAACCTCGGCAATAGCGAAGCATGGTAGTCCAAGCCAGTACACCGCAGACGAACTAAGGGAGCGGAAGAACGACATTCATGCTTTCGCATTCACAACTCATAAGAAGTGCTTTAGGTGTCCTCGGAATGTTTTTTCTCGATCTGACAACGAGTATGGATGTGCTGTTTTAAAAAAATTCACTATGTTGCGGCGTTTGAGCGGTCGACATGCATCGCGTAACGTCCAATCAATCCGAGCAATGCTTCTTGTTGGCAGCTCGGGTTTACTGTGCTCACCGGACCACTAATTAAATCTCTGCTCGTTTGTCAACTTAGGAGCACTCACCGTCATGCTTACTGGGCCTCTCGAGCTGACATATCTAATTTAATTCGGAAATATCGGTATCGAAAAGAGTTCCACGTAAATCCGCGGTCACACTGCGACACTTTCCGAGGCGTGTCCGTTCTTCGTATAGCGGTCTCGTCACATTGGTCGTACAAGAACTGTCACCAGATATGTTCTAAGCATGTACAAAGCAAACATGCTTCAAACATGCGTGACGTGTGTCCGCACACACTTCTCTCATCATGTGTCGGCAGGGAACATTCTGTCTTATTTATGTATGATGTTGGAGCAATAGGGCTGTGGCCTAAGGGCTACGCTATATGGCTGAGGTTGGTCAGGAGATCTGAACCATCAGGACCAATGACGGGGCAGTATAAATGCTTTATCTGCGCTAGTGGCACTTTCACGGATAGCCCACACCGAGATCTCGCGCTTACCCTGACGACGAATGGGGTACGGAAGTCGGCGGCGTTCTCGCGGATGCGCGCCTCGTACGAGGGCAGCACGAAGCCAGGCGCGTTGTCGTTCACGTCCTCCAGGACCAGGTGGAGCTGGACCGTGTTGCGGTTGCCCCGGCCGTTCTCGTCCCTCGCCTCCACTGTGAGCAGGTACTCGGGCGTCGTCTCCCGGTCCAAGCCGTGCTCTGACGTCGCCATCACCACCTTGCCCGTCTCCGGGTCCAGCTTCAGTCTGGACACCCCGCACCATCCGTTCAGCCTCGAGACCAAGGGCCTTTCATCCCGTCGGGTCTCGCATCCCTTTTCCCTATCAGCATGGCACTTCCTCGCAACAGCCGCGTCATCATAGATATGTGTAGGTCCAGACGTGGCCTTTCGTAAAACTAATTTCAGTACGCTGCTACTCTCACCCATTGATTTTCGTTTTCTGGGAAAGGGGGGGGGGGGGGGGGGTATTTCAAACATGACTGGGAACCCATCACAGCCGTGAAAGCTAAATCAAATTGCACGTTCAATTTTAACTAACTGCGCTGGCACTTGCAGTGAGTACATTAGTGAAAAGCAGTTTCACCTTATCACCACCCACCACTGCCCTTGCGCAGTCAAATTAAATTCATGGACATATCTGATGTTTATCGTCCCAAGTGAACCGCCAAACAAACCCTCCGATGATCAGCGTCGGCGAGTGCTCTGGAAGGCTTCGAGTGTTCACTGCTGCTGTCATTAGACCTATATTTATATTGGGAATGTTCGAATAGTAGATTTTGACTTCAAAACGAATAGTGCTATTGGTAGAATATTTTGGAGTCAAATATAAATTAACTTCTTTAAGCCTTTCATTATTGTTACACTAAGCTTAAATGAAAACCCAGCTGAACTCGTGAAGCTTGTTGTCGAGCTTCTACTTGTCCATCTTTAAGCTAAGCTAATTTTATACGATCTATATTTTTGGACTTTGGTCTCAGAAAGTTCGATGCCTACATTCGGATGGCAAATAATCTTCTTGTTCTTTTCAAATATCCTTTCATAAATCTCAAATTTAAAAAGGCCATCGATTAAAAGTTTAACCCAATTAATCGATTAATTATTCGATTAATCGGTCTCCTTCATTTCTATGCATAATATTTATAAACAAAAGGTCAAAAAAAACTTTTTTTTTCTTTTTCTGAGCATGTGTTAAATGGCGCAATATACAATTTTGATCATGAATCAACCTCGATGTGTACTCACTCACACTCACAAGTTATTATTTCAGCTGCATGAGGCGAAGAGGTTCTAAGAAATTCTCCTGCAAAAGCGACCTCCTTTCATCTGCTGCTCTGAACGTACACTAAAACGGCGTTGAAGTGGCTGGGATACCCGTAAGCGTCTGCAATTGCAAGGAGTTACAAATCTTGCCCCCTCAGTCTACTTTAGGCTTAAAGTTAACCTAAAGTTCACCTTTCATACAGGTGTACTCGTCCACTCTGCATGGTGAAAGCGTGTTTTTTTTTTTACATTCTTTATGTCGTCAAAAGTTTACCGATTGACCGATTAAAAGAGTTAATTACGATTAAAGCATTAGTCGAATAATCGGTAGGTTAGTGGATTAATTTCCCAGCCCTAAAATAAGCAGAAAGATTTTTAAAATTTTACTTCACCGTAGACATCTGCATTCCCAAAGATTACGTTTTTTTTTTTTTTTGCATCCCTCTTTGAAAGCGTGCCTTTCTTCTGAGCACGCGACTGCGATATTTGTATATTTCCAAGCGCTGATCACGGCGGGTTGGCCTTGTTGAGCGCGCTTCTTAACGAGCACCGGGGCACAGCGGAGAAGCCATACCCCCAAAGGCGAGCTTTGCGTGTGTTACTTCCCCGCAGTGCACTGCTGTTCGGTAAGAGGTGCGCTCAGCGGGGCTAACCTACCGTGATCAGCACTTGGAAAAATACAAATATCACAGTTCATCTCGAAGCGAATAACAAATATTATTCAAAACTACTAATCCGAAATTCGAATAATCGTAATTTATTTCAACCGCGAAGCAACTATCACTGCTTCGCGGTCACCCTCCCACTGTTCCTCGTTCCTTGTTGTTTTGGTATACTTAATAACACCTATTTTGGGGAACAATAAGCACGCCGTCCTGGTCACAAATAATTCGGACATATTTCTCGCGAACATATTCCTCCCAACAAAGAAATTAATACAGAGCTCTAAAGATGATCAGCAGAACATGCTAATGGCTACTGAGCGACCCAAGCTACTGAATGTTTCACGCTAGGAGGACATCGGGGGGGGGGGGGGGGGGTGTAATATTCAAAATTTGGCAGCGCCATTTATCACGCGCATGGCGCAGCCGTGCGCAAGAAGCCTCAGATCAAACAGCTGGACTCGCCCCTCGCGTATCACATCAATGGAGACGGGTTATCAACCATCACCGAGCGACGTTGACAGAACAAGGCAGGAAACCGTACTCACTTGTCCGCTATTTGGCCCCGGATGTTGGTATAGCGAATCCCGGCGGTTCCGTAAACACCAGAATCTGCGTCTTCAGCCTGTATCAAGTTGATTTAAAAGTTTAAGAATCCCTTCACACGGTTTGTCTCTGCGAGTCCTGACGAGTCTCCCTGAACTAAGCTGCCATCTGAGCGGCACCGCAAGAGAAGGCCAGTACCTCTAAGGGCTTGGGAGGAGCCCTGCTCGGACCTGAAAAGAGCGCTTACCCGGACTACAGCAACGACTGTTCCGGCGGCAGCGTTCTCCGGAATCACAGAGCGGTACGAGTCCTCCCGAAAAACGGGAAAATTGTCGTTGGCGTCCTTGATGTGCACGGTCACGTCAGCAGTTGACGTCTTCGGCTGGCTGGCGACCATCTCTTGGGCCACGATCTGGAAGCAGGCAAGACCACGGCTGTGCACACAGCTGGACTTGGGGGTCTTGTACCTTATCATCAGCAGACACACGCGCAGGCAGGGGAAGAGACAGATGTCTGCCAAAGACGGCGACCAATGGGAGGCGAGAGCGTCCTCACTTCCAGACACGTTGGAAGGGGAATTCTAGCACACATAATGGAGAGCCAGCGAAATAAACATTTTCGTAAGTCAGTGCTTATATCCGCGGTTGTAGTTTTCGCCCAGTCGACGACTCAGTAAGGTATTAGGCTTAAACGTTACTCTGATCGCAGAGCTCCCCTGACTAAGCCGCTGCACCACAGCTTGGTTTGTCGAACACCGTTTCATTCCTTACCCAGTTGAACCATAAGTGGAGTCGCGCATAAAATGTCTACTGGTTCCTAGTTGGCAGCATGCGGCTGAACATCAACGGAAGCTCCAAGAACACGACAAAGAGGGTGATGTCACAGCAAGACCTAAAACTAAGCATTTATTAGGAAACCCAAAGTTCGTGATCATTTTTATACAATTCTGAATGGCCAAGGTAGCTAGAAAGGTACCCAAAATGCTTTCCTACCCCTTTCGCCGCTTCCATCATAAATTCAAATTCATTATCGCGGAAATACAGCGACGGTGTGCTGGCATATGCGACCAAATGGCGAGTGTACGTAATATAAGATAAGCGACGTGCACAAGCTACCTCGGTGTATCGGAATATTACTCTGCGGGGCTGTGTAGAAGCTCTGATTCACATTGATTAATTGCGCTGCTTACCTTGAACTTGACCAGCTTGACTCGCTCGTAGTCCAGATGATCTGGATTCTTAACTCGGATCATGAAAGACACCTCGTTGACGCCGATGGATGGCGTTACCTCGAAAACGCCATTGTCTTCTTCCAGGCGCAGCTGGAAGGTCCCGTTGCTTCCCTAAGAAGCAAGAAAAGAATATATATATATATATATATATATATATATATATATATATATATATATATATATATATATATAACGGGCATGGTGGCGGGAGGCCGAAGGCGTGGGTATATAACTGAGAAGAAAAAACCCTTAGTGAAAACAGCAACAACGGACGATTTAATCTTCGACGTTTCGGCCGGAGTCCGGCCTTCGTCAGGAAAAGTTCTTCCTGACGAAGGCCGGACTCCGGCCGAAACGTCGAAGATTAAATCGTCCGTTGTTGCTGTTTTCACTAAGGGTTTTTTCTTCTCAGTTATATATATATAAACGAATATGTGCAGATGAATGAACCATACTTAACCCAATGAATCAAAGAATTGAAGTTTTCAGGAACCCGCCGAAAGCCAAAAAACGGCGGAGCCAGGATATGAACTCTGGGCCTCCCAATGTCCGGTCGGGTGTGCTGTGCTAACCACTACACCACTCCACCTTAGCTTTCTGGCGTTTCCTACCTGTCTTATTAATGCACAAGAAACGAAATGTATCCAATCGGAGGTGTTCTGGAAACACACGCCGCCGCGTGGAACGCGGTACGACGCTTAGTGTCACGTGGTACGTGCTCGTTTGTGCTCCAGAAATCCTTCCACTGTTCGTCCCGTCCCGTGTACATGTAGTATTCTTTGTTTATGAGCTTTAGAGACACGGTATCATCATCATCTGCGAGAATCAAGAGCCACGTTTTTGAACATACAACGCGGGCACTTCACACCATCGTACGTGGTCTCCGAGAAGGATATAAACGAATATGTGCAGATGAATGAACCATACTTAACCCAATGAATCAAAGAATTGAAGTTTTCAGGAACCCGCCGAAAGCCAATCCTGGCTCCGCCGTTTTTTGGCTTTCGGCGGGTTCCTGAAAACTTCAATTCTTTGATTCATTGGGTTAAGTATGGTTCATTCATCTGCACATATTCGTTTATATCCTTCTCGGAGACCACGTACGATGGTGTGAAGTGCCCGCGTTGTATATGTATATATATATATATATATACACACACACTCGGGGTTATGCTTTGAACGATTCCGTTGTCTCCGGCAGACGGGGACAACGGGAAACACTGCCGCGGGAAATTAAGCAGTCTTGCGATATGCATTGAAGCGGAGTTTAGGTTACGTTCGGTTCTTAGAACACGTTACGCAAAGCGAATAAAGCCAGGTTGCGTTCAAAACAACTGAAACGACAGCAACGCCAAACCCACCAGGTACCTATTCGCGGTGCACAATGTAGCAAGCGATGCAAGAACTGGCTTCGTGAAGCAGTCAAAAGTCACGTTTGTGCCGTGTTCAGTCGTTGTCCTCGTTTTGTTTTCTATAGACGCAGCCATCACAAATTAGTGTGAATCAGCCTTGTGATGTTTTAATAGGTGGTGACATGTTACAGTAACTATAGCCTCTGTTAAGTTAAATTTTGTTATTCTAAGATGTTACATGAAGCGAACAAGGCTGTAAGACGAGGACTCACCTGGTCGTGGTCGTAGACCTCGGCGATGCTGTCGCCGACGAAGTTGACGGGGACGTTGAGCTGCGCGTTCTCGTTCACCTCGGCCACGTAGTGCCGGCTCCGGAACGTGGGCTCCTCGTCGTTCACGTCCGTCAGCAGAATGGTGACCTCGGTGCGCGCCGTCGGACCCAAAGGCCTCGCCGAGCCGGATACCTCCTGCGCCTGCGGTCAGTACAGCGGCTCATCTCTTGCGTCGTAACAGAGGGCGAGGTCACATGATCGAGGTCCGGTTCAAACTTTACGGACGAGCCTTCTGAAGTTTCCAATCAAATAAAAAACGTTACATTGAACTCCGATTATAAGAGGCTACTACCTAAGTAAAAGAAAAGCAATTGTTTTATATTTACTTAATGTTCTCTGTGCTTACACAAAACACCGACGCTACAAGCCGATGGGGTCACTCAGCTCAGAGCCGAGAATGCAAAATCGCAGCGTCCCCCCTACCCCCCCCCCCCCCCGAAAAAAACAACAAAAAAGCGAGAAGTTTAGTTCAGTTCAAAGAGCGTTTATTGATGCCATAAGCAGGGAGAGGGATGTAAGAATGCATCGGTGGCTAGTAGTCGAGGCCTGGATGCGGCGTACTTTTTAACACATATGTACACGAAATAAAGGATTCCAGCTTTGCCTCATGAAGGAGGTCCAGGAGACTTCACAGGATCTTTTTTTTGTTGGTTCTCATTTCCAGGTGGATGAGTCCAGCCTTATAGAGAGGCGATGTTCTGAGGTCGTGTTTTAAAATATTATGGGCTTGAGTTGAGCTAGTTCGTGCATTACTAGGATAAGGCCAGCTTGAACTCGGAACACGAAAAAACGTGAAAAAAACAGATATAGAAGAAAGAGACAGAGATAGACATACCGCTGGACTAACAACTATGGATTTAATGCTTCTTTTTTCTTCTTGAACCTTAACTATCTGCTTCTTCTTTCTTTACTTCTCATCCAGCCCCATACAATCCCATACAATCCAAGGATTAAATGAAATGAAATGAGAGCCACATACAATCCACATACAATCCACATACAATCCCAGATTTATTAAAAACAAACACTTCAGCAGGACCTGGCACACTGCTATTGCTGTTTTATTTTGTGTTGAGCTTCAGCGGGACGTTTCTCTCTCATCAAACTAGTTCCTGAAGGCATCAGTTCGAAAAAATATCACCTAAGCTCGGGGTGCGCACAGCCCCCTCCGACCTCATTATGGGGGTCCTTTTTGCTAGTCAGAGACTTCCGCTAGTTTCGAGAGTGTTTTTACGAATAGTCGAGTTCGAGTGACGTAGCGATCCCCATCTGGATGTGCCACATATGATCCCCCGATGAAATGCCATTGCTCCGCTCGCACCAGATGTGGAGATCGGTTCACCTTCGCCTCACCTGAACGAGGAGGATGAAGGCCCCGTTGCGGTTCTCTGTGGCCTCCCTGTCCAGACGGCCCTTTACCGAGACGACGCCAGTTTCCCGGTCGATGGCGAACAGCCCATCGCCACCTGAGGGAGGGGAGGGGGGGGCATGTACGATTACGCCATCAATCCCTTCCCTGCCACTATACCCAACCGAGAGGGACAGTCTCAGTGCGACCTTCGTGTTCAACCGGGGGTTCGCTAACTTCGAACTTCCGGCTAATAGAACACAAGAAACGAGGGCAAAGTTCCGACAGAGCTATATAAACTCGCGTCCGTAAACTACCGCGCACTTAGCGATAGACTCCCAGCGTAAAGAGCCCGTCCGTCAACGCTGCCGAGGCTCGCCAGGAACAATGGTCAACACTTTCCTCACGGCAGCCTTCCCAACCCTAATTAACGTCACACACACACAAACAAGTTAAGATACGTTTTTTGTGACATTTTTAACAGAAAAGGAGCGTGCCTGCCCAGCTTCAATCGGCCGCTCAAGCACACGCTCCTGTATATCTTTGACTACATTGCGACTTGTTTTGCAAAATAGGTAAATTGAAGACAACAATCTAACGCGTCGTCCGCGTGCGGGAGAGGCAATTTCGCCGACGAATACTCACCGGACAGGATGCTGTAGGAGATGGGATTGTTGACTCCGCGATCGCCGTCCATGGCCTTGACGGTGAGCACCATGGAGTTCTGCAACGAATCGAATGCATGAGCCCGCGTCGCTCGAGGCAGGGAGCCGTAGCACGCACCAGCGGCAGGTCTTCGGAGATGCGCGTGACCGGCGGCACCTGGGTGAAGACCGGCGGCTGGTCCTCGACGTCGTCCACTTTGACCAGGACAACGGCCGTGGCCGTGTGCCGTGGGCCCGAGTTCGCACGGTCCTGCGGTAGATATAGGCGGCGTCGTACTCAGAGCGACCATACTACGAAGAAAGCAATACCTCCAAATACATTTCAGAAATCTCTACTAAGCAATGCCTCTATCTCCCGAACACTTCCTACGCCCCGGATCACGGGGACCGGAGCCCTTTGGGTCTGGTGGGAACGGTGTCCCGCTCGAACTTACAATGGCGAGAATACGCAGCTCGTAGATGAACTTTCGCTCGTAGTCTAGCGGCCCCACGAGCGAGATGATTCCTTTTCCCTTGTCCTGGTGCACGGAGAACGTGGACCGGGTCTCGGAGTCTGTGTTCTGCGAAGGGCGAGAATGAAGGGGAGTCTGTGGGGGACGGTCTTTACAGGAGCAGGCGCGCATTTTCAAATCAAGCGCCTGATAATGCTGGAGCATAGAACTCTTGGAGTAGAGTAAGGGTATATACTCCATCTCACAAATATCTTCAGTGCTGACAAGGCAAGGGCGTGAGCGCGTGATTTTGTATAGTGACTTCTAAGCAAGAGTTCTCATGCAAACAAGAATTCTGCTGAGCTATCGCCCACGCTACTTGTCTGTACTGTAGACATTCGCGAAATTAAATATAAAGTAGACACATGTACGACTAAAGATCTGATGGGCCATACGAACTGCCGGAAAGATGGCCGAATCTGAAAGAATTCAGAGACGTCGAATCTCACCAGGAGCTCCGAGATTGTTGGTGTTTGAATTTAGAGACACGAACACGAAAGGAAGAATTAGCCACGCGCTTTGCGCACTGAGTATCTTTGAGTCCATGGCTCTCGGAGCTTCGCGTGGCGGGAATCTTAGCGTTCATGAGTAGACTCCCTTCTTAACGAGTAGTACGACGCGTCAGAAATCGAGAGCTCCTATAGTGGGAATGGCGTTACCAAATTAGTACGCAGTCTGAGCTCGTGCTTTTACACCAGAAGCTTAATTTGGAAGAAGAGCTGATGGTGAGGAGGGCTATACGTAGGTTTTTCGCGACTTGTGATTCACGGACCTGCCTCGGGCCGCCCTCTACCCTTTCCTTTTTGATCAGCTGCGTCGGTATACCACGGGCACAACGACCAACACCTCCCAGGACGTCCGTGCGCGCAAGAATGCAGAGATTTGAGGAGCGCGTGGCTCGGGCGGCGTCTGCATTGTTTCTATCTCTGGGCGAACTCACTTGCAACTGGTAGATGACCTGCCCGAAGGGACCCTGATCGCGATCGATGGCCTCGACCGTGTCGATGACTTGAGGTGCCGCATCCTGTCAGGGAAATAAACGGGTCGGCATGAGCGGTTCCCGGAAGTCCCTCCCTTCGAGGCGTACTTCTGAGACCGTGACGGTCGTTCTGTACTGCTTGAAGACGGGCTCGTTGTCGTTCACGTCGTCCACGATGACCAGCATGGTCTGAGTGATCTGTAACAAGGTGCGCGTTAAAAGGGGCGTACGTATTTACAAAACGTGTCATCTGCAGCCGCGCCGAGTAGAGTAACCGTATATACAACGCTGAGGTGCAAAGAACGCTCTTTGGCTTCTTGGCAAAGTGTCTAAATGATGACACCACAGCCCGAAGCAGTGACACCAGTCTTGTCACAGTCTACATTGCCGCTTCACCTAAAGCTCATTATATCAAATCATTGACGACTGAGTGCATGCCTTTCGCGCACTACAGCTGCATTGCCAAGGTCTCACTTATAAAAAATTTTTATTTCCCCTAAGCAATATATGCAAATTCTAAACTTTCAATCGAATGCTACAGCAGCGGGTGTGTCTGTGTGTGGGATAGGAAAGCGTGTCCACTGGGCCCCACTCTCCCCCTTGCAGTGGATATGATCAAGACTGGTGGCATCTGTTAACATCCGTTTAATCTACTGACTGCCAGGTCCTGGTTAGCTCAGTTGGTAAAGAGCTTCGCTAGCCTCGGAGAGCTCCCGGGATCGAACCCCACCCCGTGCGGATTTCTTCAGCGGCCACGAGTCGCCCGTTGAGGGCGAGTTAGGCTTTATTACGGGTGAAACCCAATTTACTCTTACGCTATCGTAGTGTTCTGGCTGTGACGTCGTCATCGAGTCTCTCTAGAGAAGGGAGCCGTGGCTGCAGAGGGGTATGCTTTGGAAGTACGCGAAAGGCGCGCCTTCGAGAGCGTTGGAGGGACCGGCACGCGCTCCTCCAGGAAGAGTCGAGGCCAGTTTTAATGCGCGCCCAGAAGAACTGGTTCGTGCTCCTCCCCGCGTGTTCGGGGAGCGCAGCGAACGGGATCGTGGCGCAGCAGGTGCGCGGCAGGCCGACTTACGTATTGGCCCTCGGGCAGGCGTCCGTCCGTTAGGGTGAGCACAACCGTGTGCGAGTCCTTCACCTGCAAGAAGACCGACAGTCAGCCCCCGACGCGGTACGCAAACACGTCTGCTCCGACCTGCTTCGTGGACAAGCGGATTGAAAATGAGAAGTGCCCTCGATCGCGAACTAGCATTTGGCGGGTTCATTATAAGCGGCCGTCAGACTGCTCGTGTACCACACAAAGGACACTGCATTCGCTGCAGACCCGACGCATGTTTCGGGGCATGTTTGCTTTGCACATGATTCGAACATGTCTGCAGCTAGTTTTACAGCGAAGCTGTAGATGACTCGTAGGTCGGTTTTTTTTCTGTCCGTCGGCATAAAACCCACGGGCGCACTTTGTCACCGTTCGCGCAAGCCTTATCATTTATTATGTGGTTTTAACACTTGTTTCAATAAGAAAACCACAAAACAAGTGTCAAAACCATGTGATAGATTATAAGACGCGCACGAACGATGGTAAGCACGTAGCGTTAACCGCATGCGTTTTTTTCGGTAAAGATTGCGGTTGCATTAGCTGCCGCGGCAACGGCAAAGTACGAAGTGTGGAGTGGCGTCACAGCCGCACTAACAATGCGAAGTACGTAACGCTCTCCGCATGCGTTTTCGGGAAAAATTGCGGTTGCATAAGCTACCGCGGCAACGGCCGCGCCTCAAAGTTTTTCATATATAAACACACATTAGTACAATGCATTTACTTTTCTTTCGTCAATCATTTGGTATAGGCCCTTTTGCTGTTTACAAACATGAAGTGCCGCTTGCGTCCCGAGCGACTTCCGGTCGCACCGTGTTTGCAAGCCTGCTGAGCTTGCTTATGTCACCAGTGCTAGAAAGCATAAATGCTACACGGACAACAAAGTTGGAGATTTAACGAGGGGCTTTGGACAATATTACATCTTGGAGGAGGCAAGTTGATTTATAAGAATACTCGAAACGTTTCAGCAGATCTCATACTCCTTTGCTCTCTCAGCGTTCATCTGGAGAATTGGTGGTTAAACGTATCATCTACATTTCAAGCAGCGGTGTTAAGGTGGCCTTCGTTAATTATTTTCATAAACCGGAAGTTCTCTGGCACGTCAAAGAATGGAGCACCACGTGGTGGCGTTCGCCATAAAAAGGGTCTATAGTGCAGTAGGCCACCGTTGCAGGTGATACCATAGCTTCGCTGTCCAACGAGCTTCATAGCGTGGATTGGAGCTTAAATAGTTTTGTATAACCAATCTGACAAGACCATTGTATAAAAGGAGAATAAACGCCTCAGACAGTAGAGAGTTTTAGCGGGAACCGTTCTTGCACATCCGATACGGTACGGCGGGCCCTCGGGTACGAACTGCGCATGCGCTGCCACAGAAGACTCGCGCATGCGCGGTTCGTACCGGAGAGCCCATCGTACCGCATCGGGTGTGCAAAAATGGTTCCCTAAAACTCCCTACTGTCTGTGGACTGTCTTTTGTACGATGCACAAAGACCGTCCGCACATTATATTTCTCCTCGAACCGATAATTCCTGTAAGGTACAGCAATACCCGTCACACACTAATTCCGTTCTGTTTTCACCCTTAATAATATCGATTACAGAATGGAATAACTTGCCAGATTACTAACACAAATCCCGTTGAATTTAAAGCAGTGTGCGAGCGCCTATGGTATGAATTGTACAGGTACATGCTTATTTGTTGTTTACATAGTTGTTTTCTGTTTCCCTTTATTGAAATTATTTTTTTATACATAGTTACGTCCAGTTGAAAATTGCAATTGTGTGCGTATACGATGTCGAGGCCTTTTTGTAAACTGTGTTGGGCTGATTGCGATTATATTGTTGTACCAATGACCGTGTTTCGAAAATTGTGTGATTATGTTGTTACAAATGCATGCACCACCTACCCTCCTCATGTAACGCGTCCTCAAAGACGCCCTTGAGGTAAATAAATGAAATGAAATGAAATGTATTATCTTCGGCTTTGTGAGTTTCGTTTTTCGAAGCAACCCATCGGGCGTAACTGGTACGTCTGGGAGATGATCGAGGCTGCAGACTCGTTCGACCCGAGGACTATTATCGGTGGCTAACCGCAATTCGGTCTTGTCCCGCGGGCCGGTGTTTTGTGTGCTTACCCTCACGACATCGTTCTTCTAAACCATCCTGGACCCGAATGCCTTTGGGGAAACAAGGGCAACGGCAACGTCACGTTAGCCCAGGGGTGCCCCCTAATCGCCTCGAACGTTCCCGCGCGTTGCTCCACGAAACGCGGCTATGTATACCTATGGGGTGTTAACGAATAATGTTCTCTTCAAATTTTATTGTAGCTAGGGCGCGTGATTAGTCGTACGGAAGTTCAGACGGCAGGATGTCTGTCTCAAGGGGCATTTGATGTCTCCGTTGTAGATGAGAAAATTAGCGAGAGTAGTAAAAGCACTATAGCATATACGTGCGCCACGGAGCAGTAATAACCCTTTCTGTAAAGCAGAAACAATAGCCAAAGCTAGAGCGTGATTTGAGTGGCACACTGTTTCCATCAAGTTGACTGGAGAAGTTTCAGAAAGGAAACTTATTCTTATCAGCGGAGACTTTATTCATTACACATTGTTAAAGACAGTTAATAACATTACTCTTATTTCTTATTTATTTCTTGTCAAAACAGGCTTGTCTTTAATAATGACAAAAAGAAAACTAGGATTAGTTTTAAGAAAAATTACAACAAAACAGAAAATGTGTGGCAAAAGAGTTGCTAAACATTTGTTGTTGTTGTTGCTGTATTGTTTCGTACGGTTTTATTTTTTACAATATATTTGACTGCGGACGTCCCGGAGGTCCGCAGCAACAAGCATGCCACTTGGGCTGAACGGTTCATCACGCGCTCACGCCAACATTAAACCTCCGCGAGACGAACCCAAGCGTGGGTCGGCGATCAAGCAGCGCTGACGGCGCAACGTCACGGCGTTGCTTCGTCTTTCTGTGCGCGCGTGTTATCGTCCGACCAAGAGCGAAGAATGCGCTGTGGCCTGGCGCTTTAAGTCTGTGTGACTCCCATGACCGCGCTGGGACGGCTGAAACAGAGCCGGCAGTCGAAAGTGCCGCAGGGGCCGCACGGACCGAGCGTGCAAGGCTGGAGAGGCGGCTGCTCCTTCTCACTCGGGAAGGGCGCTTCCAGATTAGAAGAGCTCACGGTCACACGGATGTATGTAAGCCCCTAACTGGGGAGCGCGTCTTTAGACCTTTGCATAGATGGCAGCACAAAACAAGTTTGACGAGATATGCCTGGTACCAAAAATATCGGTAAAATGTGGACACAAACGTCCCCGTTTTGCCAATATTTTTTGGTACCAGGCATATCTCATCAAACTTGTTTTCTGCTGCCATCTATGCAAGGGCCTAAAAGTCCCCATTTTGCGATATCTTTCGTCGTGGAAGTCCCCAATGAAGGGGTTACCACACTAGCTGACTCGAATACACCGATTACGGACCGCTCGGTTAATCATCTCAAGTATACACGGCTTGCATTGACGTCACATAAGCGGCCATTGTGGTGGCTATGTGTTGTTGAGCGCGTATCTTTCGCAACATAGTTTTCACACCACCAATTTTGGTTTTCTGGGCAAGAACAGGCAAGAATGACCACCAGCATGGTGCAGTGACGTCACGTGCAATGGAGAGTTCCACCATGATCACCGTGCACTTAAAGACTCCGGAGCGTTTCGCGCTAATTCCTCCGGGGTTGAATGTCATTTGGTTAGATGGTGCGATCTCCTCGCTCAAAACCGACAAGATCATCTATAAGCGTGTGCCCCACACTATAGTTCGTAGACGTCCCAATAAGCGACTCGCGTCCGCGACAGCACCCACCTCCCTGTCCAGCTCGTGTCTGAGGAAGACGTCGGCCTCCGTGGCGCTGACCCGGTCGAAGCGGAGCAGCTCGGGGCCCTCGGGGCCCTGGGCGCCGAACGACAGGACGTCGCCGTCCGCGTCCTCGCCCCGCAGGCGGTACAGGGGCTGGCCTGCACCCGCCCACGCCGGCGCTTCAGTACAAGGCTCAGCCAATAGGCCCCTGCCCTCCCAAACGTCATCGCTAATGGTTCCACGCAGCGCCACCATAGCTTGCTTCAGTGCCGCCGTCAGCCTCGTGCAGTGTCTCACAGGGAGCTAGACTCTAAGACGGACGCGCTTTTCGCTTTGCACCGTCTTTCGTCTAGCTTCGGCGTGTTTGCCGCTTGTCTTCTAGGCGGTGTCAGCTTAGCACCGAAAGCGTGTCGCTCGAGCATATCGGTATTCTGGGTGGGTCAGCAGGTGCCTTTTTAGGACCCACGCTGATGCGAGCGAGTTTTAAAAGAGCGTGCCCAAAAGCTTTGCGAGCACAAACAAATATCCCCGCTGCCGTGCGCCAATTTAAAAAAGCGCTTTGGGCTCGGCCCATGCGCAGTGGCGACGACGAAATTTCTTTGCGAATGCAAAGCGTTTGTGTACGCCGTTCTAGAACTCGCTACGGACTTGCAATGAGGCCAATAAATGCTCACGCAGTCTTCGATAACCCGAAGAGGCGTCCCTGCTGGTTATCTTAAGTTCCCTTCATCTGATGTAAGAAGCAAAGCTGTACCTTTATGGTACACTAAACATACTTAGCTCATTATGTTGTCTTTTTTTTTTTATTTGTTTATATAATATTTACTTCAATGTGGTAGATACTCAAGCTATGGCCATGCTTCTTGAAACACTCCTGCAATCCATGGCTGCTCGAGCCCGAAAAAGCTGGCTTGCCCACAGGCTCTTCGATTCTTGGCTGGAACTGCCAGCACTCTAGCGCGTCGGAGAAGCCTTCCCCGGCGAAGGCCACTCAACCAGACTTCTACGTAATTAGTTAGAAGTAACTTATTATTTGTAATCAATTACATCCTTTTTAATGCTTTAATTGCTATTTTCTGCGGCAAAAGTCGCTGTAATTCAATTACTATTTGTCTCTAATCAACTACCAGTAATCAGTTATATGTTTCCGAAAAAGCTAAATATATTGAGTTAAGATTTTTACGTAAAAGAAATCTCTCTTTCTGCCCGTTCGTCACTCGTCTATGTTGCACCGATGTTGGACACTTTTTTGTTTTATCCCTAAAGAACGAAAAAAAGATATCAAGGTATCAGAAGACGTACAATATCAACGCGCTCAGCGACGTTTTGACTGTCGAGATGTTCGGGAGTTCCTCGTTTCCTGCGTACGGGTTGTTACAATCCGTGTTTTTCGCGAAGGCTTACATTTTTGATTTCATAAATAAAAAATAAAAAGTAACGGTGAAACAAACGATTAATTTCTGGTAATTTTTAGATTACTTTTGTGATGCAGTAAATGGTTACTGTAATCAGGTAGATTTTTCAGTCGAGTAATTGTAATTGTAATCGGATACGTTTGTTTTTTCTTCAATAGCGCGAACAAGACTGCACTCACCCAGGCTGCCTGGTCCCTCCTTGATCCTGACCACGATCTCGCTGATGCCTCCCAGGGAGAACCTGGGGAACGTGTTGGTGCCATCTGCACAGAGGACGGGAAAGGAAATCAACACCAGGCTTGTCCACCTATTTCCCTATTGCGTCAGTGTCGTAAGCTACTAGACGATCACAACACAACAGGACATCAGTGCTGGAAGCCTAGTGCTATAAAGATATTACTTGCAATTGTGTTGCACGTTAGTCTAAACCCGGGGTCTCCAAACTTTTGGCTAAGGGGCCGGATGGAGGCTCTGTCTCTGTCTCGAGGGCCGGAAGCATAAATGGGCAGATGTAAATGAGGAAAATCTAAATAAATAATCCTAGATATCTAAGCATTTAAACATACCATATTTAAAGTTAGAGTAAACATGAAACAAAAATATTCCAAGGTAGATGAATGCCTTCACTTTGTTATGAAATATAATCATGTAGCTGCTTATGACATCACACAATAATTGGAGCCCAGAAAACATACCAGCATAAACCAGAGCGCATACGAACTTTGGCACATTCACACAGGGCAGAAGACTACTGAGAATGATAGAAGTTATGCAGACAATATTTAATAGCTACGACACAGTACATCAAGCACAATATACATAGAGACGCAAATTTATTTTAACGTACTTAGTTACCCAGATATGAAACAGGGGACTAGGAGTGTGGATTCTGCTAATGACAATGTCTAATTACTAATACGACCAGAGGACACGTCCTACGGTAAGCCGTTTTTCTGGTAACTTCGTTTACGCGGTTGGTGCGACGGCAGCAACGTTTTATACCCGCTTATTTTTTCGCCAGTAGCAGCGGGCGTGCTGGAAGCGGGCCGTGGGCCGGGCTCCATTAGGAGGACTGCAGCCAGCCACGGGCCGGTCGGAAAACCTCCGCGGGCCGCATTTGGCCCGCGGGCCGGGGTTTGGACACCCCTGGTCTAAAAAAACGCAACACAGGTAACGTAGTTACTGGTAACACATCACTTTATGGGCTAGTATTGACGCAATCGTTAGCTTCAAAACTTACCAACGAGTAGCACATTTCTATTTTGCGCTATCATCTGCCAAACTACCTTAATCGAATTTTTTATATTGAAGCTATATACATATACTTCCATTTTCCTGTTCTCCCATTAAAGGACATCGTTATGGTACGATACAGACTTTTCACCGGAAAGTAACATCCGCTCAGAAGACGACAGTTCGTCGCCACTTAAAGATTCCAACTTTGTCCCCACCGTATTCGTTGGTCATTTTCTTCTGCCCTTGTTCCTCCAGCGGACCGGTTCCCTCTTTCTGTTCGCGAGGCTAGAACAGCCTTCTCTTAGAGAGCGAACTATCTGGCTTATATTGGCTAAGGTGCACTCGATCGTGTTAAATAATATTTTGCTTGTCGGCGGCAAATAATCAGGTCAATGAATCTTTACGTTCTGGGTATTTAGCAGCGGCTGATGTTATTGAATATTACTACTTACGAAAATGTGAGTCTTTGTCCGGGTTCGTCAGAAAATGGCTGAACTTTTGTCTGGTAAACTTGTGTCCAGTGAAGTTATTTCTTCCGGAATTCCTTTAGGGGATATTTCCACGTGCGTAGCGGAGTTGACTTAGCGCGCGGATTCCACGCGAAGGTACGGTGTTCAGACACCGCCGTCACAGTTCTGGAAAGTTATTGCATCTTCTAGAGAGCTCTCGTCTCATCTGAAAATTTTCAGCTTACCTTCGTTGGTTCACTTGCTTTCTGGTTAAGACAATTCTCGAACACAACGCGTGTATAAAAGAAGCGATAGCACACTGCTTCAAGTCAGTCACTTTTCTGGCACCGTCGAAGATGTCCGGTACTTTCTTGTTCTTTTTTAAGTTTAGGCACAAGTTCGCCTCATTAAACGTCGTCTTTTTTATATCATGAATTCACCTGACCCCTTTTATTTGCGACAACACGATTGTAATTGAAATCAGACAATCTGCGCCAGTGTTCATTTTGGAAGAAAGAGCGCAGGTGCGAATCCATCACCCAACCCAACGACGGACCCGCCCAGGCAAGTTGGTCAGGAAGCCTGCAAGGCGGCGCGCTCTTCTCAGGACGGCTTCCAAGATGAAATCCACTCTCACCTTCCGAGCATCTCCTTCTCTCTGGATTGCATTGTCCTCGGCCGCCGTACAAAGGGGACAAACTTCGTAACGTTGGACACTTGTGATGAGAGTGAACAGGACGCTCCCTACATCGCGGCGTCCGACCTCGGCCGAGAGGTCAAACGGTTTCCTCGCTGCGGCGTCTGTGTGCGTGCTCAGCCGGCCTCTCGCGACTGTACAGGATGTGCGTCTCGTCCCTCGTGCTCTTCCGCATCTTTAATCTACATCAAGGCGCTCCCGCGGACCGATCCACTGTTCACAGAAAGATACACGGCGAGTGATAAAAGCGCTCCATGGCGGAGCTGGCCATTTCACGCCATCAAAGCTGTAGATCTTGACCGGCGATAAGTTGGTTTATCTACAGTTCGTTCACGCAGCAGGTTCAGTCACGACCGCAAGTCGCCAGGACATCCCTGGCTTTGTGTGCCGCATGGCAAACAACCTAGAGAGTAGTGGGCACGCGATCTAAGAAGCACGGATGTTGGTAGCGTATTCGGAAAAGCTTGTAGAGTAAGTCAACAGTCCGATTTCGGCGCTCTGATCGGCATGTTTTTATGAACGTCACACCAAATGGTTTGCGGGAAGGAAGAGACGAAGAGGGGGAGAGGGGGGGGGAGAGGGAGAGATGCTTACGTAAAGACACCTCAGTGCTCAGTGATTCACTCACTAGCCTTTAGCCGTGTGCCAGATTTGTTTGCCCCGGAAAACGTAAGCAAATCTGAGAGACGGCTAAAGGCTAGAGCGTGAATCACAGAGGCGTCTTTCGCAAGCGTCGTCAACACCCCCCCCCCCCCCCCCCCCCCCCACCAATCCCCCTTCACTCTCTCCTTACGTAGATCAGGCGACGTGGCGGTCATGAAAACGTGCCAATCAAAGTGCCTAAGTGAACTGCTCGCTTACTCCACAAGTTTTTCGGGATACACGTCCCGGTAACTCGCGTACGATACTAACTATTGAAAGCGCTTTCTACAGCTTGTCTTTTTTTTCACATTGCTTAGTGTTTATTTAATAATACACAACACAAGACCTGTGGACTAGTTTCTACGCGTAACTTGCACGTGACATCATGGAGCGATGACGTCCCGAACCATGATCCGGGCGACACCGACCGCCCCGCCCGCATTGCCCGACCGTCCTCCGGCCGAGATGCAACCAAGCCAGGCGATTTCTTGAGTCGGCTAGGAAACTGGTCCGGGCGGCGGGGCCGAGCGTCAGGGAAAAAAAGGGCCCGAAACGACGAGAAAAACGCGTCGCGCACCGCCCTCTTGGCGGGCCAGACGCCGGCAGCGCCTCTTTCCTTTGTGCAAGCTCGCTCCGGAGCCGCCCTCGTCGTTTGGGCTTCTCTTTCTCTTCGGACGCTGCGTGTCCTCGAAGGAGAAAAAAAAGAAGAAAAAAAACTTCTTCGCAAACTACCGAACCGCTGAGCCCATTTTTATACGCGTACAATCGTATGCAGTCTCCTCGTTACCCGGAATGCCCGAGAGACAAAAATAAATGAATGTCAAATTTGAAGTTTCACATTCCAAATCAGGATGTCCACGTCGACCTTAATCTGAAGCCTGAAAAGAGAATAACACGAAAATATTTGGAGTCTGCCAGGTCCAAGATGAGTTTCCTTCTGCTTTTCTCGGATTACTGGTTGTTTGACGATTAGGACCGCTATACTTGACTCGCACGAGTCACGCTCGCCAAGTCACAAGCGTCCCGTGTATTGCGATGGAATCTACACGCAGTCAGGTGCCAACCAGCGTTTGGCGACTGTTGAATTAACAAAAGTTGAATCTACACTGCCTGGAGTCAAACCCCCGATGTGTTGACCGAGTGACGTGACTGTGTTCGAAACCTACCTATCGTTTCCACACGCAGTCGCCGTAAGCCCGTCCTTCCGCGGATTCGGTCGATCTTCCTGCATTCTTGCGTGGACACTGGAGCAACGCCACCATTTTCGTCGTGACAACGCCCTTTCGCTGCTGCTTGATTGACTCCATCGGTTGGTAGCGTTGAATATACAGTTGAACAAGTGAAACGGAGTATACGGGTGACAGGAGTGAAGTGACCGTAGGACGCGGGTGGGTGCCACTAAAGTAGATGTCTTTACAGCCAGCGGAGCGTATACAGATGGCGTCAGACGTGCAAGCGCTCTATAGAACTGGGACAAGTTCGAATCTCCCTTCTTCGCTGCCTGTTCTTTTGTGCCCCCTTTGGCGGCGGCCTTCCAACAAACATTGCGCCTCGTAGTCGCCTGTTCAGAGGCAGAGAAAAATGAAAAACCCCGTGAGAGAAATCAGGCCTCGGGCGCAATCATCCACCACGTGATTTTGGTGAGCTTCACTTTCCTCGATGTTGTCGCGGTATGCGGCTGGCTATTTTGCGCAACAGGCGGTGATCCTTCTACCTTAGTCGTATTGTTTCGTTTTCTTCTTTGGTGCGCTTCAACATTCTTTCAGCCCAACGCCCCACAGCAGCACCTTACACCTGTGTCGTTCTGTTAATGTGGGACGTGTCGATCTGCACGGCAGCTACATGATTAGCGACGTACGTGGCCACAAGTGTGGGTGTAGCGGTACCGGTGTGTGAGGTTTTGTCTCGTCGTCTAATGCTGGGTTGCATTCACCTTTCTCGCTTCTCAATTAACCACTCTCGTACCGGACCCTTCGTTCACCGAGCTGTCTATGACCACTTTTGCGAAATAATTCCGGTATTGCGCGTCCCCATACAGCTACCGCTGTAGCAGCGATGCACAGCTCACCTAGCAATAACCTGTTCTTTTTTTTTTTTTTTAAGTTGTCATTTTACACTTACTGATGTATTGCGTGAAAACTAGCCAACCGTTCTGAAACTACTAGCCCGCGATATGGACCCAAACTAGACCGTACGGCTCGGTCAAATCCCGCCTTCATGTGTCATCATCAACACCGCAGTAAATAACGGCGAAAAAAAAAATGCCGGAGTCGACACACTTATTTTTTTTTTCCATCTTAGCAGTATTTTGTTCGCTTTAATGATCCGTACCATTGAGCCAAAAAGACACGCGCGTTGGGGACTCTCGCAAAAACCCGTGAGATACGGGATCCTTTGTCTGTTCGCGTGTTTGTTCACCAGCGTTTTTTTGTTTCTTTTTAGGTAATTAACAGTTGTTGTTTTTTTTTTGTTTTTTTCCTGCTGCGCGGCGTGTGGACGATTGAGAAAGAAACGCCGAAGTTCCCACGGCAGTTGTTTTCGCTGCGACAGTGCAGCCCGTTTTGCGGAAACGAATGGCTCGTCAGGCGGTAATAAGAAAGGAGAATGTATGCGCGTGTTTGAAGTGCGTTTCTAACGCTCTGTCGCTTCATAAAATCATCTTTCACATGTAATGAAATGAAAAAGGCAATGGTTCCCCCTTTATATATGATAAAAACAATATGTAAAGCAGAAAGCCAGCTCGGCGAAAACATGACAAGTATAGAATAAATTAGCAAAGTTTACAGTTTGCAGCGGTTTAAGTTATGTAAATGTTTAAGTTTTGTAAATGTCTAAGTTTTGTAAATAAACAGCGTCTGCCTTTCACAAGCGTGGCCCTATTTTGGTGCTTTATTTTTTATTCGGAGTGTTCTATTTCTTTCGAATCTCGTTGCAAAAACGTTTGTGCGATTGCGTTTATACTGGGGCTTGTACACTCATGCTGCATCACGTTGGATGGTCTACGTGACGCGGTCACGTGACTCTGGTCACGTCCTACCGGTGACGTCACTTTCATTTCGCTTTTTATGTCGCATTTTCGTGTCCTTTTTGATTTGTGTCGGCCTTTTTCTACGTAGCATCCCCTAACATATTGTACTTTAAATACTCTGATAGTTTTTGTACAGACGAAAAACGAATGGTCGCGTTTCTACCACGGGAGAAGCGTGCCCTGGCACAACCAACTCATGTTACAAGACTGTCCGCACAACTGGCTGTTGCAATATCAGATCAACATTAGATGCTCCGCCTTCAGTACGCACTCGTGTGCATTTCGGCGTGTTTGGATGCACGTCCGCCTAACTGTTATAAAGTTACAAAGATCGCGCTGCTGATCTTATGCTATAACAAAACATACATTGCAAAAGAAAAAAAAAAAGCTGAAGTAAAACAAACGGTGCAAACAAAAAGAAAAAAACAAAACGAATGCGATACACATAAAAAAAAAATTTATGAGCGCACTTAGCTTATGTTTTGTGGCGAGCTTTGAGTTTTATATGTAGGATAGACTGTAGCAACATAATAACTTCAGAAGAGGCTTCGCCGTTAAATTCCCCGAAAGAAAGGGGCTGGGCACCTAATCGATGAACCTACCAATTAATCATTAATGCTTTAATCGCGATTAATTTTTTAAGCCGGTCAATTAGTTAAATTTCGACTAAAACAAAGTTAAAATTCAATGTTTTCACCACGCAGACGTGGACGAGTACTAGTGTATGAAGGTAAACTTTAGATGAAATTTTGACCCAAAGTAAACTGTAGGGGCGAGATTGGTGACTCTAAACAAGTGGAGAAGGTTATACGTAACCCAGCCATTTCAACGCCGTGCGAGTGTCCGTTTAGCGCAGCGGAGACAATTGTGAACGAATCAAAGGCGTTGTCTATTGCCGGAGAATCTCAACGAACCTTTATGCTTCTGCGGCTGAAGTAGTAATTTGTGAGTGTGGGTGTCTTATGACTATTCTCAATTACACGGGTGATTTAAAATCCGAAATAGTACATTGCGCCGTTTATCACATTTTCACAAAAGGCAAAAAAAAAAAAAAACATTTATCATTTCTAAATTTTTAGAAGTATTGTGCATCGGAATGAATGGAAACGATTAATCCAATAAATATTCGAATAAAAGGTGGAGATTAATTGGGTGTAAAGGCTTTTATCAATGCCCAGCCCTAAATAACATTACAGCGTTAATTGGTATAAATGCTAAATGTTTCCAACGTCACGGAAAGGAGTCGGAAAACATGTATTCGTTTCTTAAAAATCGCCTTTTCTTAAAAACCCCATTGAGCCTCGGAGCACTGGTGACTGAGAGGAGTGTTGCCTTTTTGTTGGCGGAGACTTTCCCGCAGTTCTTGCGAAACAGCAGAGGACTGAAAGAGTATTTATGCTCGCGAAGGTTTTTATTTGTACGCGACATACGAGAGCCCAACTAGCCAGAACACAATTTGCGGCTCAAAATTTGTTTTTTTTTTTCCGCCTGAAAGCTGCCGATCGAGAACTGGCCGGTTAAAGTGGCGTTCATTCTCGTCTCCGTGATCACGTACCGTTCTCTACGGTTAACACACACACCAAATATAATCAAAGTCGTGGGTCAACAAAGGCACACCCTCAATATAAAAACATAAAAAATATGATACCATTTTTATGACTTCTAAAAAACTGCAAATACATTGGATGAAGAAAAAAAAAAGGGGGGGGGGGGGGGGGGGTTACACAGAGAATCGGAAGCATTCTGTGCATTCTCTGCGTAATTCTCAACATGGCGTCGTATCGCGGATGTCTCGGGCTGGACGGACGAGCGAAGCGGACAAGGTGATGGCGGCGGACGACGGGCGTGGGACCTTTACTTCAGAACTGTTGTTCGCGGTACCGGCGAACTGTCTAGCTCTAAAAGAGATATCGTTTACCGATCAAAACAATTAGGATTTATTCCGTACGACACGCCCGACCACTAGGCTCATTCGCACGAAGACGTCGCCGAGTTGTCGCCCCTTCTCCTGGCTGAAGACATCGCTCATATTACGAACATGAAAAATGCGCAAACGTCAAGCGCGAAGTGCTTAAGTTTGTATTTTTTGTGCGACGTGCGTTTTTCGTCTGCTTCGCACAAGCAGAAAAACGAAGAAAAATTAAATACGTGTTCGGGTGCAGTCACGCGACTTTTGGCCATTCTCTCCTTTTAACCCATTTAAAACGAACCCACGTACAGCGAATTATTGTCGATATCGAACTCACGAAAAATTTAAATAAAAATGCATGTAAATTGCACTTTTTATAACGAACAACATATTGGCGATATCGAACTATTTCCCCTCAAGAAGGCTTCCAAAAACGCGCAAACAATCGTATTCTAACCTGTCCCTTCCCCGCAAAAAGAAGTAGGAAAGAGAGAAAATTCCAAAAGCTCAAGTTGCTAACAAAATTGAGCTAAGAAAACACTTTTCATCCCAAAGCGTTTGCCCACGAAGATAATCGATTCAAAAGGGAAGATAAGCTAAAAAAAAAACAACTCTGCATTTATGAAAAAAAAAAGCTTTCAATTAAGTTGTTACAAGGCGGAAGTGGATAGATGAGAAAGAAAGAGAAGCTCTCGCCTTACAACGAACGCATCGTGGAAGTTCGTTGTAAATGTTTCTTGCTATATCGAACTACTTCCTATATCGAACTGATCGTAGCGTCTCCTGCTGTTCGTTATAAACGGGTTTCAGTGTATATTCTTCCCACCAGTTCAGTTTCGGTTTCGAGCAGTTGCGTTTTTTTTTTTTTTCACTTTATTAGAAATATACGTGACGCTGTAGCAATTTTTTTTATTGGGTAATCTTCTGACACCATATTAAATCACCTGGCCAAAAAATGTTAAAAAAATTAAGGGCCGGGGGGGGGGGGGGGGTTCTCAGTGACCCTTTAAACGTCCCACAAAATGATCGCCTTTGGCTGGGGTGGCCTTTTTGTTCGGCGCTTCGCGCACTCCCTGCCTCGGAAGCTAAATGGGCTTGATGGAGGAGGAGAGAAATGCTCACCTCGGGCGGTGACCAGGCACGCCGTGGCCAGGAGGCTGACCAGCGCTGCTAACCTGGACCAGGCCTGCGTCCACATCGTGCCATGGCTGTCCGGCTCACTCCACGGCCTGTATCGAGAGAGAGAAGGAACGGTCAGCGTTAGTTATACACACACACACACTGTTCACAAACAAGCCCAAGTTTACCCACATCAGGTGTGTGCACTGCGCGTGTGCAAAAAACCAAACTCGCGAGAAGTGAACGGTCTGCGCATGCGCAGGACCGACAGCAGCGCCACCGGGGTGGCGTGACGTCGGAGGGTCGAGTTGGTGTATACGAAGAGCAAGTCGTCCGCTCCTTGAGCAGGTGTCGCGGTGACGTCAGAACGACGCCGAGCTCCGATTGGCTTCGATTGAAAGGATAGTGGGTAGACCTCAATGAGATGCCTGCGAGTCTACCCACTATTTATTTCGATCAGCCAATACGAGCTCGTCGCTCTGACGTCATCGTAATCCATGCGCAAAAAGCAGACGAACTTACGCTCCGAATTCGCATCGACGCATATTTACAGCGCTCAACAGCCAGGCTATATGTGCCGGGACACTGGGACATGTGGACGCATAATTGTAGTCTGATTTTCCGCAGAACAGATCTACTGCGAATGCTCAGAACGCCGTTCGCGCACTTGCGACTCCTCAGAACCGAGCGTCTTGAAACCTCTTAAAATATCTTACGGCGGGAGAACACACTGACACGCTGGCGCCATCTATGCGGTGACCCTGGAACTGCATTTCACTAGAGCGAAGGTTTGGCGGTATTTGCGAGCTCAACTGTACTACTACTTATGAGAAATGTTCCTTTCTAACATTCACAAAAGTTTTTCAGACCGAGAAAAAGGAAATGATGCGCGAAAGAAGTTCAAATATACGGGACCGCCCAGTGTTGCACTGCTACCCGATAGGTGGTGCCAGTGTGTCCTCATGTCGTAAGAGTTGTTAAGAGGTTTTAAGGCACTCGGTTTTATGAAGACGCAAGTATGTGAACGGGCCTTTAGTCCGGCAAAAACAAAGATGGCAGCCGGCAGAAGGCGATATGTGTTTAGTGTTTATCGCGTTTTTTTTTTTTTTTTTAATTGTTTGACTTTAGATTTTTACGTCGGGACGTCACACAACGCTCGGTTCGAAGTGGGCCAAGTTACGGACATTAAAGCAGCCACGGGTTGGGAGGCCGCGATGACAGCGACCCTTGCGGCCACTTACCGTCGCAACAAGACATTCTGCCACCAATCGCTAGGATCGCGACAACCGACATCCTCGGCTCGTGTGGCGTATTCTCTTGCCGCTTTGGGACCACCGCCTGTGACGCGTTCGAAATTTCGCGAATGGAAGCGACTTGCCCCTTTCTCATTTTCCTCGACAAGCCAGAGTTTTTTTTTTTTTTTTTTTTTTTTTATGGTTTCCACTTCAGAACGCTGCGAAAGCACACTTTTCGTGGTAAAGCCATGTATTCTTACATTTCGCGAGTTCACATCATGAAAAAAAGTTTCAACATGTACACCTTTGATTTCGTGCTTTCCAGCCGTCACGAGGAAAACAACTAAAAAGACAGGCATACTACAATGGTCCGTTAAAACAGAAGTACTCATAACATTTCAGCGTACAAGACGAAAACAAACACGGCGCCCATTCCAATCTATGCGGAGCACAGGCGCACTGGCGAAGCATTCCAGGACCCAGGACTCGTCTTCCTGTTCATCACATTACTGGATAGAGCTCGAAGACTGCAAAGCCTGTGTGGTTCCTAGCCAGGGGTGAATGGATACCAGTCTTTCGGGAAGTAGGATAGTGGAGATGATGGGTGATCGAGATGGTGACTTCCGGAGGTCGAAGGAACAAAAAAAAAATAGTTGTTCCTTCGCGCTGAGCCTCTTACAACAGGTAGTAGATTTTATGTGACCCTTTGCGTGCAATCACATTCAATTTTTCGGCAAACGAATCTATTCCCGAAAATAAAGGCCATCCCTTGCAGCAGCGGACGGTTCCCCGATAGCCGCCGCCGAGCTCTGAGGTTGTCAGCTATTTCCGGTGAGGGTGTCAGTTATTTCGGGAAGCCACGAGCGCGAGTTCCGGAAGGAGATTTCGAGACGGCCCGTTCTCCTGCCGGGGTCAGCTCGGGCGCCCACCCGAACCGGCGAGACCACTCGCGAAGAGCGGGCCGTACGCAGGCTAGCATGCGCGTTGCACGAGCCTAGTTTTGCCGCCCGCCGAGACCGACGGCCGCCTTCCTGCAGAAAATGCCCCCGTAATTGCATTTCCGCGGACGATATCGCCGGCACCGCGCTCTCGCACGCGCTCCCGATTTCGCTTGCAGGTGAAAGGGTCTCAACTCTGAGATTAATTGCTTCGAAAAGTGACCGGGAAACGGGATTTCTTTCGGAACGTAAAATTTTCCAGTCGCAGCCGTCGGCACACGCGGCCGGTTTTATTCCCGAGTAAATTACGCTGGCGCGCGAGCGCGGAAGCTCGCTTCCGCAAAGGCTCGTTCCGCGAGCGCGCGCGAGTCATATTGAGCCTGGTCGTCGACTCGGCACTGACGATTAAAGCGTATAAACCCCGCAAACTTCAGGGCCAGAGCGCGGAGCAGATTGAGCCCGAGAACACGCCCGTAAGCATGTCCTGAATGCGAAAGTCGAGCTCATGTGGTGCTTCGCTGATCCTACACGCGCGTTCCCAGTGACGGATCTTTCGCTCCACTGGATGGGCCGTGCACCGTCCGCGCTCTCTATACGTGGCGGGCAGGTTTTCGTTCGACGGACAGTTGCAACCTCGCATGTCCCGTTCCCAACGCTTCAGACGTCCGCGCCCATTTGCCCGCAGGCTTTCCCATTTATCTCTTTAAAGTCGCTGACAGCTTAAATGACGCAGGACGCAGCAAGTCCCGAACAACATCTCGCTATCCCACCGGAGCCTATGAGATTGAGGCAGCAGCCGAAAGAAATGCCGAAGAACACAGCACGAACCAAGAAGCGTGGTCGCAATAAGCAACGCCCCGCGTTTCTTAACACACTTCGGTTTTTGGACGCCGCTCCAAGCGGCCACAATCCGGTCTTGCGCGCCACAAGCCGCGCGCCTGCCGACATTTCGCGCGCGAGTTTGGTCGCGCTGCGACAGCTACGCCGGCCGTTGTCTCGAAAGGCGAGAGGGTCGGTGTCCACGGGCTCCGCCATCGACGTCCTCCTTCGGACGGCCGAGCCAAGTGGAGCAGGCAGCATCCTCCGGAGCGAGCCCGATCGCTGTATCCTCTCACTCCCGCCGTTCGCGGCGAGGGCGACCCGCCGCCGCGTTGTAGATGCAGCCGGTCTCTGCCCGCACCCGCCAGAGAGGAAAAGCCAGCGCTGCGCTACTTTCTCGACGGAGAAGACGAGACAACTATCAAAAAAAGCGACGCAAAAGAAAGAACCATAATCGAGGAACCAGATCGCGAGCTGCGTAGGTGGCACCCGACTTCAAATCCCCTCTTTTTTCTTTCTTCTCTCCCCCACCCCTTCGTTTCCCGACGGCTGCTGGCTCGCTGCTCGTCGTCGGCTTTTTTTTCGATTGCGTCATGTACCGATCTCCATTAACTCCCGTACGCGATAGAACCAATAGAACCGCACGGCCGAACTCGCGAACTCATTTCTTCGTAGGTGCAGGCGCCTTCGCGCGCGCGGATAGAAACGATGCATGCTAGCGTTGCGCCGTGGACGCACGCCGAGGTTGTCAAGGTTCCGTGGACACTCTCCGCTCTTTGTGCCACTCGGGCGGCACACGCGCAGCTCCCGCGGGATCCTGTCGTCGCGTAACGAGTGCGCGCCCACAGCCCGTTAGATGTGTGCGCGTATCACACAATATACATTCGAGACAAAGCGCAGAAAACAAAATCGTCCGAAAATAGGTCGCTCTCGAAAGCGAGGAAGTCGATGGAGGAAATGAACGGGAATAAAGTAAAAAAAAAAAGGCTAGAAAAAAAACGAGCGAATGGCGCCGCTGTTTTAAACACGTATTGTTCTCAGAAACAAAAGCTTGCAGTTTTCTGCCTCTTTTATTTAGTTGTTTTTTTGCAATTTTAGGGCCACTGCTCAGTTGCGATAGCCTTCTCGCAATGGACGTTGTTGCCGCGAGGCTGATGGACATGCCAGCAAACGCCGAACCTTTCTTCTTCTTCTTTTTTTTTTTTTTCTCCCACGAAACTTCCAGGTGGTCCTTTCATCAACCCAGACATTCCTACTAAAGCGATACGTGAGTCAGGCGTACATTCCTTACCAGCGAAAGACGCGCGTCGTCAACGGGCTCGAAGTTTGAGCTCATGGACGAACGAGATCATCGACTAAAATAAGGCGTTTCGTTTCTGTTTGTTTATGGCATTGCGACTCCGTCCAAACCCGCTCGAACTCTTGATTGTAGACTGTGACATCGCGCGATGCCAGCGCGCTTGTATACGATTGTCGTTGCACTCGGGAGATCGGGGAATCCGTGTCCATCCGATGCAAGCTCCAGACGAGCGGTCCTTGCTGAGTACGGATGAGTGGGCACTTGCCACGCTAACTCCGCGCATCGTAAACACACACACACAACCAACAAAAGCATTTTTTTAAAGTAAATACAGAAAGGAAAAAGGGGAAAGAGTCCGTGACCGAGTATGCCATCGTACCACTACTGTGATACGGAGATCTGGCTGAGCATCGTATTCTTCCGTGTAATCACTACTGAGTAATGTACAGGGTGTAAAAAAATCTACAGAGTTTTTGTTTTTACCGCAAAAATAAAGGACGTATTGCCGAACGCTCATTATCCGCCCAGGTGTAGCGCTAGAGGTTCGAACCAGATACCAAAGTTTCACTGAACTAACTGTTAGCTTATTCAAAAATTATAAATGATTTTCTAAAACTTTCAATGGGAAAATGCGGCTGAAGGAGCCCTCGAATAGATGAAGCTGAAAGCATCAGTTACCACGAATGGGCTCCATTTTCCCATTGAAATTTTCTAAAAAGTCGCGAAACTTTTGAAGAAGATAACGCTTACTTCTGTATCTTTGGAATCTGCAATGGTTCTGACCGTT